ATAGATAGATAGATAGATAGATAGATAGATAGATAGATAGATAGATATAGATCTACTAGTTGGGTTTCCAGAAGTATTTGAAGTGTTTGTGCAAGGGCTGCTGTGAGAAGAAAACCGAATTCTAGTTGGTTACTTGATGGGGCTCTCTCTCCCAGGGCTTTCCGCTGGTGGCAGAGCTTGTATTCCTCTGTGTGGAGAAAAGAATTGTAATGGAAAATATGTTAATGCAGCACCAGCTAGGGAGTAGTTCAGATCCATTGCAACTCAGTATACCACATCAGCTGTAGCCTGCAGAGCCTGTGTGAAGCACAGAGGTGCCCAGCCATCACTCTCCTTCAGCCCCTGCCTTAAACGTCATTGCTGGCATGCATGTCAAATTTCCCCAAGTGGTTTTCAATCCTCTGGGTACTGTAAACTTTGTGCTGAGTGTCTGTGTGTGCTTGACACTGCTGAGGAGGGGGAACACTAGTTGACATGGGCGTTGTTGGACTTTGCTTTAGTAATTACCATTAAGGTGGGCTATAGTTTTTCTTGTTTTATAGAGTGCATGTATACCTAAACATGACTTACCAGTTTATGTTAGCTCAATCAGACTTACAACACAGTGTGAATCCTTACTGCAAATGAGTACTGAACCAGTGGAACAGCTATTATCAATGATAAAGGTTATTTTAAATTAGAAATGCAATGAACTTTAAAAAGCAAAAAAAGAAACATTATGATTGATGTATGTACATATTTTACTAAAATTAAATAGTGTAATGAATGCTTCCATAGAATTCACTTGTCTTTAGCAACCATCTGAAGATTATATCAGAGTCCCCATCACAGTCCTTCCTTGTGGGGACACAGATACCCTTCTGATTCCCATATACCCCTCCTTGCTGTCTTTCAAATTCATGGCCTCGTTTTTTATTAATTGTTACATGTACTGTGTTGTGTGCGCATGTGCTCTGTCTATTCAATGTTATATTTGTGTGTGTGTTTTCAGGCCTGAACTTTTACAATTGGATAACCAGTTGGTATGCTCTTCTCTTACCAACTGGCTGTGAGTTGGGTTTTCCATGTCCACTTCCTTGGATGGGTGATTTGCTAGAGTGACTTACAGAACTGAAGAAAGCACTGCTATCTATGCCTATCTCCTGCTAATTAGAAAGGGCATTTGATGGAGTCCTTTGGTGAAGGCCTGAGCATAGAGCTTCTGTTCCCATGGCTGTGTAGGTGTAGCATTGTCCTCTGTGTGGACACATTCTTCATACTTATTTTGTATTCCGGATACTTGCTCACATAGGTGTGAATAATGAAACCATTGGCGATTGCTACAACCTAAAGTTGCTCCTTTGGATAGGCAGATCTAACTTTTGGACAATGACTCTTTCCACACTGTTTAGAATAACTGTTGTTTTATGAAACCTTCACAAAAATCTTAGTCTTAAGTCAAAGTAAGAGGTAACAGCATTATGAAGTTCAGCCTTTTTGAATGGCAGTGTGATTTTCATTCACGTGTCTCTTACAAGGTTTTATGTATTTTTGCATTAAATGTATTATCTGACAGTTTTGTTGTTACTACTACAAAGTATTCACTCATTTCTCTTATTATTCATTGGGTAAAATTACAAGCTGTCATTGCTTGTATGCCTATGTTTTAGCTACCTCACCGTCTGTCTCAGTACATTTAGAGGGGTCTGTGGGTATGGCAAAATACATAGTATACATGAATGAAATTTTCCAAGAATAATTTAAAAAGAAGGAAGAGGAGGAGAGGGAGGAAAGAAGGGCTCCAGGTTCTCTAAACTCTGGCTTTAAGGGAAAGAACAAAAACTGTTTTAGAAAATGTGCTGAAACAGAAAATGTGAAGTGTGCTATTGCGCAGCAGTCTTAGGGACAGATGCATTTGACTCTGCTGTTTCCAAGGCCCGTCTTTAATCCCTTCATTCTGAGAGAGCCATCTCAACCTCCTTCCTTTTTTCTCCACTTTTTTATTCTGCTGTTCAGACAACTCTAGTTAAATCATCCACCGGCCACTTCCTGTGTGCTGCGTACGCTCCTTTGACTAACTTATTTTTATGCTTGTGACTGTTTTTGCAGTCTTTGCTGTTCTGGTCTTTTTATAAATAAAGACACAAAGATGTAACCAGAAATTAAGTCCCTTCATAACAATCCAAGAGGTAGGAGTGTAAGTCATGCATTTTCCTGACTACAGGAAATGAGTGTACTTTTGAATTTTTAATACCCGTTTCTCTTTCATTCCTTTCCTTCTAGGACTTGCTGATGTACTTACTGCAGCTGGTCCAGGCTCTGAAATATGAAAACTTTGATGACATAAAGAACGGTTTGGAACCTACCAAGAAGGATAGCCAGGGTTCAGGGTCAGAAAGTCTGTCAAATTCTGGAATCAGTTCTGCAGAAATAGATAGGTATGGCTGTCCAGGGAAGATCATTTTACACGTGGCTCTTTCTCCCTTATCCCTTTATAGTGGTGTCTTTCCTTTCTCCTCACATATAACCAAACAGACTGTAGCTTTTCTAATTTTGATTGTACTTGGGTATGGAAACTCACCAAGTGAATATATATGCACAGATTACTGCTGAGTCAGAAGACCTGAGTTACAGTTTCAAGTTTTCTTCTAGTTATGTAAAACTACTATTTTGTATACTTGTTTATGTTGCTGTGATTTCTCCTAAAAGTAAGGATAACAGTAGCAACTTCTTGCTTTCAGATAAAATGATTACACAGAATTTACATCTTGCTTATCTCTATTACATTTCAGCTCCCAAATTATAACCAACCCTCTTCCTCCCGTATCACCCCCTCCTCCTGCATCTAAATCAAAGGAAGTTTCAGATGGGGAGAATCTTGAGGTGAGTACAAAGCTTTCTGAGCTTATGGTGGGAGAGGTACTGTCAGTCGACATTCTGTGTCAGTCTTTAAGACCTTGGTTTGAATAGTAAACTCACCATTGTAATTGTGTTCAGCAATTATGATGCATATGTAATATGTAATTACATGTAATATGCTGGATATTGGTTAGTTTATTTTATTTGTGCTCTGGACCTATAAATGAGTTTTGATGTAATATGAAAGTAAACTAACCTCAAATATTTTATTAGACTCAGGATGTGCATTTTAATATATTAATGAACATTAGTGCAATTGTCAGCATTTCCAGTTGCACCATAGAAATGTACTAATAACCATATACTTCACTATCTAGCTTAGCTCTCTTGTCTGAGTTTTAGATTTCAGTGTCTAAACCCTTACTTAATATCCATGCTTTTCAAAGGCGTTAGAGTTAGGGTTAGCTGTTCTCTTTTCTGTTTTCCATCTGTGATGTAAAAAATTAACCTATTTACTGAATCCAGAAATTTGGAAAGTACTGTCAGTTCTGTCTTTCTCATTTCTTCTTCATCAGAAATCCTTATTAGTTTTGATTTCAAAACATTTCTCACCTTGTTTTACTTGCTGTCTTCACTGTGTAGACTATTGTAAAAACATCCTAACTGACTGTAGGTCTCTACTTTTCAGACACTGGACTAAGTAAATGTCAACCAGGCTGTCCTAAACTCTTGTTAATGTCTTTTCTTGTCTATTGATTTCCATTGCTTTTCAGATACAGTCCACACTCTATATTGTAGCCAATAGTTGTTGCATAAACATTATCTCTTAAACCTCTTACTTTACTAGTCACTGTAATTGAGCACCATGATAAGAGCCTTTTTATACACTGTCATGTTGGGTTGGCCTAAATGTGATGGTTTCACCATTGTCTTTTCAGATTTATTCAGACTATTTCTGTGATTGTTTTTCACTGTCTTTCTCCGTTACCAAATATCTGGTCAGGAGAGGAAGGAATTTCATGACCTCTTATGTATTGTCTTAATTTGTAGTCATTTTAGAGTGGGTACATTGTAGGATGGATGGGAGAGATAGATGAATGGATGAAAATCTGTGCTATAACTTCAGATGAAAACTGATAGTCCTCCTTGGGATCTCATTTTCTTCCTGTTAATAGCAGATGGTAATATGTATTTCTTTTAATTTTTCAGCAAGATCTATGTACCTTCTTGATATCAAGAGCCTGTAAGAACTCAACACTGGCTAATTATTTATACTGGTATGTGACAGCAATTTTGTTTGTTTTGTGTCGTTCCTTTGATCTGTTGGTGTCATGCTGTAAACAGACAGTTTAAGATGATTGCCATCACCAATGCCTAGGTGCAGTGCTTATGCCACCATCTCCACCATAGCTGTGTTCATACAAGTCAGTGTTACTGTATTGTTCCTTCTGCCAATTTTTTGAGACCTAAGATGTTGGCTATGGTGAGTGCATGTCTGTATTATGTAACAATTAGAATCCCACAAAGATAAAGATTTGAAGTTAAGAATTACCTTCTCTCATGTTAAAGATGGAGAGGCTGAGGCAGAACTATCCCCTAATTGAACTTAGTAGGCACTGGTTAGGATAGATGATGTGCCATTTCCAGAGTCCTGGTGACCATTTTCCACTCTTCCCTCTGCGGTTAACATGAGATAAGGATAACCATCATGGCTTACATGAAAACAATGTAAAACAAAGGTTTAGAGAGGCTACATCTTGTACCAAAAGTAGAATGAAGTATGGCTGCCTCAGGCTCTTAAGCAGCATAAATACATTAAGTGGAAGAAATCATTGGGATTATATACTGACAGGTGAGTCCTGTCCATATTTGCAGAGGATCTTAGCATACAGCCTCCTGGGTGAGCTCTCCTGAAACCTGAGTTTTTAACTATGGAAATGATTTCTGATTTAACTTTATAGGTAGCTTATGGCTTTAGCTTAAATGATACAAATTAATAGATGTTAATTCTGAAATTTCATAGTTTTCAACAATCACCTTATTTGAGCTGGGTTTGACAGGCCTATTGTATGGAGTGAATCAAGCTTCAGATCATTCTCCCTTTCTCCAGAGGTGATGTGTACTGTTCCCTTTCTCAAAAAGCAAGGGAGCAGAGCACATGGAAAAACACAGGTGTCTGATATACATAAACAGTATTGGCTGAACCTTTATGGTTTTCTCTACCACAAAGAACAACTAATACCAAAGATTTTAATGATGTCAGTCATTTTCTCCATTGTGACCTGTGAGTTTTCTGCTTGCCCTATGGCTGAACCACTAGAAAGCAAAGTATCTCCATGTGTTAAGAGTTAGGATGCTCTTGAAAATGTATTACAGAACATTTTGGTTAATTTTAATTACGAGTTTTCTTTCTATGAGTTTACTTACAAATTTTCATATTGCCAGATATTTTGATTTTAATAGAAAACTACAGTTAATGTTTCTTTCGTTTCTATTTGAATTCTTTAGTGTACTTCTGTTCAAAATATTACATAAAAACATTTCCTTGTGAAAAGCTAAGTAAATATTTAAAAAAGAAAAGACAGAAAAAATTTACAGGGTGCATGAAACATGGGCAGCCCCACTTTTCGCCCTTAAGAGCATTCCATCAGACTCAGACTCTATGTGGCTTTCCCTATCATGTCTCTGACTCACTGGACAGTTTGTTCATCTTTGCAGGCCTAACTACTCTTTACATATTACACTGTATTTATTACATATTTAGAAATATTCATTGGTGAGAAAAACTGTTGATAGTGATGATTGGCTTTGGTAGACACTGCTATCGTATGAGTGTAGGTCAATTATATGAGAAATAATAACTTGGGTTTTCTTAAAGTGATGAAGCTTCCTCTGAACGTGCACAGGTGTGAGAGTGTAGAGCTTCGCTGGGCTTCCTTTGTCCAAATGAATTTACATTTCAAGTTTAACTGATTTTGCTCTTTTTCTTCTGAACACCCTGGGTTTGTTTTGCCATTGTTCTCCCCTTTCCAGTGATTTCAGTAGGATTCCTGCTATAGCCAAATCCTTGAGGAGCTGTTAACTGTGCGAGTGCACCTTTGAAATGAGTAGTGTCAACATTTCAATACACAGAGGGGAGTTACGGCTCTAGACTGTAAAATGTTGGCATCAGAATCTATAAATCCCTGCAGTTTTTTTTATTTTTATAGTCATTCTGGTTTGCTGAAAGTGAAAGTAAACTTTGGATGCTGAGGCATGTTCTCTCTAGCTTCTAAGACCTGTCAAAGTCAAGAAACTTAGTTACACCACAAAATCAAATTGTCACTGAAAAGAGCTTGCCAATGTTGAGTACCTGGATAAGTTGTCACATTTCCCCTTCAGATGACAGTGTTCCAGGAAACAGCATGCAGGGCTCTTTAGAGTCTAGTTTGTACATGTTGAACAGCAAGTTGTGAAATAAGTAGACTCTGGGTCTTTTGGTCTTTATTTGACCATGGAGGTGATGCTCATTTGTATGTTAGATGACTTACTTGTTCTTCAACAGAACATTGACTTGAAGTACTAGAAAGGTGTTTAATTATGGAGATCAGCACGTACCTTCAAGTCCTGGAAACTGTTGTAGCGATGGTGTTTACACGGTAGTTACGGGTTACTGAACAAAGTGGAGGGCTGGGCTATGGACGTGGTCATGCTCATTTGTAAGTGAGTTTGCTATTTAAGTATATAGGAGAAGAACTGAAACATACAGTGGTGGTAGGGGCCATCAGTGACTTTAAGCAGCCACGCTTAGATTTCCTGTGATCACATTGATGATTGTGGAGCTTGCAAACCACTCTTGTTCAAACAGTCTTACATGCAGGCCTTAGGTGACCGCACTTTCTGAAATATAAAAGAAAGTTTAAGTTTATCTTGTATGTGTCCTGGCTCAGTCCTCTAGGACAGAGCTGTCCTCTAAACCATGCTTGGTGGGTGACCCTCAGCTGTTCACCTGCCTCCTGCAGCGAGATGTGTGCAATAGGAAGCACTGACATTTGAGTCTAATCTGACTTACTTTTGTTTTGTTGTTTCTTGAGACAAGGTCTTATTTCATAGTTTGTGCTGGTCCAGAAGGCAAGATGCACCTGCCTCAGCCTCCCAAGGTGGTGAGGTATAGGCTTGCATCACAAAACCTGGAAAATTGGAATCATTTTAATTTAAAGAGTCTCATGTGCCTAATGGATGTTGTAGAAAGCATCTCTAGTCGCTCATACCTTTATTAGCTCTTAGTTTACAACTCTTGTTGAGAAGTGATTTGCTATATTCTAAGGTTGAGGTTCAACTCTTCACAGCACTTTCCTGGAAACTCCAGGCTGCAGGAACGCCTGCTCTTGTGGTATAGCTTAGCTCTTTGAGAGGAGAGAGGACAACACTAACCTACTATAAAACAGTTAATCTCTCTATAAGATTATGTCAGATATGTCGGCCGTTTCTGAAAGCATTTGAGGTAAGGCACTTCCATCAGTGCCTTTCCAACCTAGGAAGGTGCTGGTCAAATGTGGAGCAATGACAAACAAGGAACTATTGTCAGCACAAGTTGTCTGAAGGATCCCACTTATAAAGGAAGTCCAGAAACAAGGAGCACAGACTTCCTCAGGGAGATGGGGTACAGCTGTAAATAAATAGAGTACGGGAGGATGAAGAGCCAAGGAAGGAAGGTGTCTTAGTGGCATCAGAGGAGACTGGCCTGCCTATATTATCAGTGCATACCAGGGACAGTGGGAATGACACCCCAAGCTCAGGCTAGCACAGGCTGTTTTCAGTAGTTGACTGGGGAATGTTGATGTTTCTGCTGTTGTAGGCCATATTTAGGTAGGGCATAATTAGGGTATTTTAAGAAAACTTTGAAGGTGGTTAAGTTGAGGATGTTCTTGTTAGAGCAGAAAAGTGTGAGGCTAAAGTGGAGTTCCTGGTCGGGAGCTGGCCAGTGAAGAGCCCTCAGAAGTAGAGGTAGGAAGCAGGCCTTGTTGAGTAACTGAGCACAGGCATGTTAGATGGAGAGCCACAAGCTGAGCATGTCCCTGGTTATGTGAACCAGCACTGAATACACTGTCAGTGTTAGCCAGGGCATGTGTTGTCTGCTTTGGCTGGGTCATACCTCATGCCTTTTATTCCTGTGTTTAAGATACATGTTTCCTGCTTCACTTCTAAGAAAAACTTAGTTTTGTCAATTTTATTTTCTATGTTAATTTTTCATCCTGAAAACACAAGGGATTTTTTGGTAAGGGCATTCAGTAGTTAAAGAAAAATTCGATTTTATATATCTTGTTTAAAAATACTACAGTATCTTTTTTTTTTTTTTTTTAAGTTCTGGAACTTGAAAACTACTGTGGACAAACATGAAACCAGGTCATATAAATAAAATAGAAATTATACTTTGCATGAACAATAGATACATAAATTCACATCACAGAATTACCATTATTGAAATTTTGCCTACATGCATGGCATTCAAGTCAGTCAGCAATAAAGGTCATCTGCTCCTACCAGGCATGAGCCTGCTGGGGTACAGTGGAGAAGACATACATGAGCTCTCTAGTCTTGGGCAGTTTGTCCTCTAGGTGGTGAGTGGATGTTTCTAGGGACAGCATAAAGGATAACAGTGTGCCATGACTACACATTTGGCAAATGTTATCAATTAAGTTTCTTGTGGCTCTTGGAGTTAAGTGAGCTTAGCAGAATAGAAAGGAAAGAATACAAATATTAGATGAATCTAAGTTTCACTTCTCGTCATATGAGCATCTTAAATGTGTTTTTGAAGGTATGTGATAGTGGAGTGTGAAGATCAGGACACTCAGCAGAGAGATCCAAAGACGCACGAAATGTACCTGAACGTCATGAGGAGATTCAGCCAAGCCCTGCTGAAGGTATTCAGATTCCACCACTGGGTTGGCTAGATCTCACTGGTTCTTCTTTTTGTAATCCTATGAGCCGAAAAAAAAAGTAAGACAGGCCTGCGAAGATGGCTCAGTGGTTAAGAGTACTGGCTGCTCTTCCAGAGGACCCAGGTTCAATTCTCAGCAACCACACAACAGCTCATAACTGTCTTTAACTTCAGTTCCAGGGGATCTGGCTTCCTGGCCTCTGTGGGGACATGCAGGCAAAACATTTAGACAAATAAAATAAAAATAAATAAATTATTTTTAAGTAAAAAAGGAGATTAATATCTGGTACATGAAAACTGTTTAAAATCCCAAGTTCAGTGTTTCTAAATGAATTACTGGGATGCAGTTATTTTCTAGTGCGTATGGCTGCTTTGCTTGACACCCCTGGGTGAATCACTGCATAGGAAGCTGGACAAGGCTTACATTTACTCCGACCCATACAGAACGTGTTTGAGTAATTTATCTCAGTGCTCTTGACTCATCTAGATTCAGTAGTAGTAGATCTCTTGTGGTTTACCTGACTTCCTGAGCATCTAATGGCCATTTTCTCCTGCTTTTGCTTCTTTAAAGCAGTGTCCAGGTCAGGCCAGCAGAGGGCGCAAGGGCAAAGGAAAACAATTGACAGTACTCTCCAGCTCTGCTGCTGAAATGTTTCCTGGCATCTGTTTCCTGTTTCAAGTTCTTAAAAAGCTAAACTGCAACTTGTCAGACACTTTGAGACTAATCTTGTATACAGCTGTCACAGTAATGTCAGGCTCATTAAGAGATGAGCCCTTGATCTCACCCCATCACAGCCATGCATGATCCCTGAGCTTAAGTATCCCATGTGTTTTAAATGGGGTGATAATGTTATCTCCATTTCACTTTCTAGGTAATTGAGAAGAATAAGTGAGAAAGTGCATTATATAATATTTTATATTTTATGAACTGGGGCTTATTACCTGGTGATTCTATTTATTAAGACATTTTACTCAACAAGTGTGTGTTGTATTTGGATTTTTCACTTTTTCAAAGAGATTGCTGTTTTAAGCTTCTTTGGAATCAGAATCTTTATTAGCAAGCAGAAGCATTTTAGGATGAATAAATTTTGTTCTGTCACATAGTCATGCATGTTGACTAATGAATGATTGCTCAAGACCCAGGTAATTTTCCGCCCTAACCTGTCAGTTGTTCTTACCCTAGACATCAGGTTTTTCTTTCCTTCTGAATGAGGATAATTCGTCCTTTTCAGTCTCACTTTGCTTTGAAGTTTATAGCTTTTGAAGAGGAAGGAAAAGATCACACTGTGAAAGCAGAGCTGATCTTCCTTGCTTTGCTCCCTCAGGGTGACAAGTCAGTGAGAGTCATGCGCTCCCTGCTGGCGGCACAGCAGACCTTTGTAGATCGGCTAGTCCATCTGATGAAGGCAGTACAGCGAGAAAGTGGAAACCGCAAGAAAAAGGTGAGCCGTGGGCATTGCTTTCTGTTTATGGCTGAAAGTGGCTTCATACCCTAACATCCTGAGTTTCGACAGTTGTCTCATTGGATTTTCATATTATACAAACGGGCTGTGTTTGCTTTCTTCTTAGTGATAGTTTCTTACCTGCTGTGTATCCTAGACAAGCCTTGAATTCACCCTCCTGCTTCAGTCCCTTGGGTGCTAGGTTTAAAAACATGAACACTTGGCCCAAGCAATGCCTCGCCAGTCCACAGCAGTGGCCATATCCACAGCTTGGACCTACATCTTATCAGCAGCGCTCTGGTTAATCTGATGAGACTGTGAGGAGTGGAACCTGAGGACACAGTCAGGTGACAGCAAGACTTGGACTCCACAGACACTGGTTCACACAAGCAGTCTGCCATCGGTTTGTGAAGGAGGATTATTCATGCCATTTACTGAGATATAGAAACAGATCTGTGTCTGTCACAAGTTGATTTTAACCTCTGAGGCCTAGGAATATTACTGAAGGGAAATAATTTTGTGCTTGGCAGTCCTTAAATACTATTCATTGACCATCTAGTTCTTAGTAATTCCAGAACTTTCTTCTCTGATGGATATATCATAATTGAAGTATTATATCTCCCCGGATATGGAAGTCAGGTTTTCCCTTTTAAAGCATAGGCTTAACCTCTTTAAAGAGTATAAGATTCTGCCAGCTTTAGAGAACATGGATTGTATTGAAGTTAAAGAGCTTTAGTGGATGTCAGGATGACTCAGATTACTCAGATTCTGAAATACCTGTTCTATCTAGTGTGTCTATGGGCTAAAAAAATGAAAATCAGGTAGTAGGTAGGTAGCATCTTCCTCCAAATTATTTCAGTTTTCCTCTTAAAGTTAAAAGATACACCAGGTAGCATAATGGAACACTTGGCTAATATTTGGTCATACAAAATTAAGCTTCAAATGAAATTACACTTTTCTGTGGCTTTGTAAATCCTTTGGACAAAGAAATTGAACCTCTAAGTTCCACTTGAATGTGTATTCCTCACTGTTCCTCAGCTGCAGTAAGAAATCGATTTTCTGTTGCTCTTGAAGTCTAGCTTTTCATAAGGAGCTTCTTGAAGGCGCGCTGCTGTTATTCACAGCAGATTATTTGTAAGAGGCTGTTGCTGGTTACGTACTGTGTTTCATGCTCAAGTGAAATACATATGTGCATATATATACAAACATGTTTCATATACTTAAAAACATTTTTAATATATATAGAATATTACCTCCCCTTTCCTTTCGTCCCTCTAGTCCCTTCTCATACCACCCCCGCCCCCCGCGCTCAAGTTGATAGCCACTTTTTTATTGATTGTATTAGTTTCATATGCACATATCTTTGTATGGACAAACATATGTAACTAAAACCTGCTGACTCCTTGTTGGTGGTGAGTATATGGTGTGTATAGTGCTGACCTCTCTGCATTGAACAACCAAGAAGTTGGCTCATTCCTAAGAGGCTAACTCTTCTCCCAGTAGTCATTAATTGCCTGTTCTTTGTCTAGGCCTGGGACCTTGTGATTTTTTTTTTCTCCCATCCATCTTTTTTTTAATTACAATTTATTCACTTTGTATCCCAGCTGTAGCCCCCTCCCTCATCTCCTTGCAATCCAGCCCTCCCTCCCACTACTCCCTCCCCCTGTTCCTCCCCTAGTCCACTGATAGGGGAGATCCTCTTCCCCTACTATCTGACCCTAGCCTACAGGGGCTGTCTCTGACATGGACTCAGTGGCTGGCTCTTTGACCAGGGTGAGGTGGCCTCACTAGGCCCCAGAGGAAGAGGATCCAGACAGTCCCTCTTCCTTCTGAACATATCCATCAGTATTGCTCTTGTTTTGGTCTTATTTTTACAGCCATTTCTAGGAGACTGTTTCACAGCAGACTTCCTGGTGTCACTGCTCTAGAAGTGGTGGGACTTGGGAGACAAATGAGGCGGATTAAAGTCTCATGCAATAGCCAACTTTATTCAGAGCCTCAGCCACCTTCTACTTTGAAGGTTAAGAAGGTCACATGACTGAAGTGTTAATGATTTCAAGCTGCATGTGGCAAACATGTTTTTCCACAGAGGCATAATTAAATAGCACTGCAAGCAATAATGAATAATCTAAAGTAAACTCACACCTCTCCACTGCTATACCTGGGAGGAGCACAAAGCACCGTCCAGGAACAATTCTGTGTTTTGAAGAAACTGAGCTCCCAAGATTCTTGTTTTACTTTCTCACAAGCACTAGAATTCTCACATAACTCCATCCCCGAACATGTTCCAGCACTCTTGGTATTTTGGCTCTTACAGCTGTTTTACCGCCTTTTCTGCTATGTTCACTGAGCCAGAGATGCAGAAGCTATGATGTAGATACAGCCACTGGGATTGGGCACCCCACATGTTTTCATGAATCTAGTTGTGATTTTCTGTAATGGCCTCCATCTGCTGGAAAGGAAAGCTTTGATGAGGGGTAGTAGCTACACTTACCTGTGAGTATAAGATTTAGAATGTCGTAAGGAATTACTGCTGTTCTAGCAAAGTGGCAGTAGTAGATTCTTTTTTAGGGTCCTTGACCTCACTAGTCCCAGAAATTGGCTAGATTTTCATTGTCAGGTATGATTTCCTTCCATTGGAAGGACCTTTAAGTCAGATTGGATGATAGCTGCTGGTTGCTGCTGATGTGTGGATGCAGCTTCTGGCACCTTTGCATGTATCTTGTGATGCTGGTAATTGTGGTTCAGTGGGTATTGCAGCTGGGTACTGTTGAATTGTTTCCCTCTCTTGGCAGCATGTATATTATTTCCTGGAACCATGAAAGCTAGACCTTAGGAAAGAGCTTTTAGTCATGTGTCATAAGCATGTGATGTCTCCTGTAATGGAGGCAATGGACACTAGTAAAAATGTTTGGTAAAGCCTTAAGGAGTCATACTCTTTTATATTTACTTAAAGTTAAATACAGTATGTAAGTATGTGCATATACACATTTACATAACATTTGTGCTCATGCATGTGTGCACGTGTGTGTGTGTTCAAGGAAATTTAGTAACTTGGGCTCGTAGTGCTCCCCACAGAAACCATGGACTAACAAAAACTCCAGTACCAGACATAAGAAACTTCACTGTGAAGGAGTGAGGGTCATCCTAGCGAGTTCCAAAACAAAATGGTGTAACAGTGTAGCTCTTGGTTGCCTCTTGGGGTGAGGGCAGGCCTGTGTTGATACACCTTTTAGATACTTTCATGTGCTTTGCAAATAATGTTACTAGACTCAGTTTCATGCCTTTATTATATGCTTCTGAACTATTCTTTCATTTCCACCTCATTACCCCTTTGTTTTAGAATGAGAGACTTCAAGCATTGCTTGGAGATAATGAAAAAATGAACTTATCAGATGTGGAGCTGATCCCATTGCCGTTAGAGCCACAGGTGAAGATAAGAGGGATCATACCAGAAACAGCTACACTGTTTAAGGTAAGGATGACAGGTAGTTACTGTGAACATTTGGAACCCAGTGTTTAGAATCACCACCTTGGAAAATGACAACATTTCAGAGTTTAAACTCATTTCCTTTGGTAAATGTTAGGTTAAAAGATGCTGGGGTTTTTTTTGTATGTTTTATTATTTGTATTACTGTGCTTGTTTTTTAGTTTTTGACTTTATTTTATTTATATGACTTATGCCTACCTATATGTATGTATACTGCCTGAATACTTGGTGCTCTCAGATCAGAAGAGGATGTTGGATCCTCTGGAACTTGTGGGTGCTGGGAATAGAACCTGGGTCCTCTGCAGGAGCAACAGTGTTCCTTATTATGTATATTGTAATTATTTATTTATTCACTTTACATTCTTGTTGTGGTATATTAATATTTACCATTGATATATCTTTTAGTTAAGCAGCAGTTAGTCCTAAACAAGTTGTATACCCAAATCACCACACAGAGACTGGGTTTATTTAATTAACCTAGAGCACAATGCTGGGCAATAGTTATTCCATCCTAAGCCTCCAAGCCCACATAGTTTCCTACTGTTCAGATTCATCCATTATACTTGATTTTAGTCATATCTTGTGTCTGGTCCATCTCTCCACGTAGTTCCAAGACCTCTCCTGCGGATTCTCTGCTCTTCTCTTTCCCCCACTGGCTTCCTTTTCCTCTCTCTGTCCAGGATTTCCCACCCTATCCTCTCCATTGCACAGCATTGGGGCTGGTTGTTTTAATTGACAATAGAGAGGACAAATAGTGGCATGTTTACACAAACTTGAGACAGGTAGTGCTTAGAATAAACATCACAATACAATTTCAGGATTGAAACCAGATAGTGGGGTAGAGAAGTCAACATTTGAATGAACAAGGGTAAATTGTATACATTCCAAAAGAACATTATACCAACACATCCCAGTTGTAGACCTCTCCCTCCTTTCTTCCCAGTCCCACCCTCTTTTCCTCATCTTCCCTCCCCACTCCCCTATTTCTCAGAAATAGGGAGTGGAGCGCCCCTCAGCAAGCATTCCATTGTAGCTCATCAAGTTGCATCAGGACTGAGTGGATCCTCTTCCCCTGTGGTCTGATGAGGCAGCCCCAGGGGGAAGTGATCAAAAAGCAGGCAATAGAGTCCATGTCAGAGACAGCGCCTCCTCCCTTTACTAGGAGACTCACATGAAGTCCAAGCTGCCCATCAGCTACATGTGTGTAGGAGGCCTAGGTCAAACCCATGCATGGTCCTTAATTGGGTGCTTCAGTCTCCCAAGCCCCTCTGGGTCCTGGATATTTGGCTCTGTTGGTCTTCCTATGGAGCTCCTAGCACCTCCAGGCCCTTCTGTCCTTGCCTCCACTTTTCTTTAAGATGCCTTATGCTTCACCCAATGTTTGACTGTAAGTCTATCCAGTAATGGATAGAAACAGCAATTGTGTTGCTGGATGGAGCCTTTCAGAGGACAGATGTTAGGCTCCTGTCTGAGAATACAGAAGAATATCATTAAAACTGTCAGGGGTTGGCTCTTTTCCATAGGGTGGGTCTCAGGTTGGGCAAGGCATTGGTTGGGCATTCCCTCAATCTCAGCTCTGTTTGTCCCTTCACATATTGGTTTTATGGGTGGGTTGGTATTCCTCTCCCTCCACTAGGAGCCCTGTTGAGTGAGAGGGTAGTCTCTTCAGTCTCCATGGCCCCTGCTACTAGAAGTCTGAACTAGAGTCACCCCCATATTCTCCCAGAAGCCTACCCAATCTTAGGTCTCTAGTATGTCACAGAGGTGTCTCCGCCCTAAGGGGGACCCAAGGGAGGATGCTTAAATCTCCCTCAGAAGGGGAAATAGAATAGACAGCAGAAATGGTTGAAGAGAGGGAACAAGGTAGGAGAGAGAGCGCCTGCCGAGAAAAATGGGGGTGGTGATCAGACCTGGGGAGAGGGTGAGGCAGGAGGACAGAGTACCTACAGAGAGAAGAGAAACCATGGGCAAGGACACCTCTGTGAAAAGCAACAAGTGTTCCTTACTATTGAGCTATTTTTCCGGTCTGTGCAGTCTGCTGGAGGGCAGGTCTGTGGGTGGCATGACGGTCCTCCTTCCACACTGTGTTTTGGGACTCTGTGTATCTGTGGCCTGCCTGTGCCATGGAGTGGAGGGCAAGTCTAAGCACCTTTCTCTGTCCTTACTGTGTGGCATGGCAGAACACAGGTCTCTGTCTTTCTCCTCCTGTGCTACTCTTCAGTGCCTGGATTTGATTTGATTTGATTTTTGTATGTCCTAGGTATAGAACTACTTTGGCCCCCAAGCCAGGCATCAAGCTAGGATGAACAAAGGACTCCCATCTGCTCTGCCCCTGACTGATACAAGTAGTTCTCTTTATTCTTAAGCAGTGTGCCAAATGTTCTTTTTACTGGCTATAGACTGTACAAGTAGAAATTGAATCAGGCTAATCAGGCATCATGCAGGATGATCTGGGAGAAACACCATGGTTAAAGTTCTGTGATTCTAGGAGTACACAGACATAAACTCCCTGGCATACTTTTGGGTTAGCTAAGGAAGGGCTCCTAGATCCTGGAACATGGTAGAAGAGATCATCTGTGTCAGAACAGGGTCTGTGCTCACACAGCTGCACAAGAGCTTCAGCACACACATAGCCATACTGGTAGCATCTCTTGTTTTAAAATGTTCTTAAATTGCTCTAAGAGTTTTTATCCTGTTTCTTTCTTCCCTTGTTTTTTTTTTTTTTATTTGTTTGTTTTTTGTTTTGTTTATTTAAGTATGAGTTTCATTTTGTTGCCTAGAAGTGGCCTTGACATTTGAGTCTCTTACCTGTGCACTCTCCCACCAGGTTCTAGGCAGCATGGTGGGCAGGGGCTCTGTTAGTAACCTACAGCAGTAGCCTTCAGAGTGCCTTAAATTTTAAATATTTCTCCCATCTCATTTAATTGGTTTTGAAATTCATTAACAATTTACAATCTGCAACTTAAAAATATTGATTGTATAGCCTACATTTGGAAAATACTGGTACAGTGCACACATAGCTTTATTCTTACATTCTGGTAGGGGGTGAAAATATAGAAGCATGATACATGAATAGTCTTTAAGTGTGTGACCTGCATTCATTTGGAATAAACCAAAACCTGGTATCCCCTTTTTCTAAGAACCAGTCAGGAGCAATGAGTTAGAAAGCTATTGGGATTTCTCTCAGTCAAGGTACAAGAGTCCACCTAAGGCAAAACAGGAGCTTCAAAATGAGCTGTAGTATTTGTGTGCCACAGTTGATTCATGTCTGGATTCCAGACACATGTTCTCCTTGGTTACAGAATACTTTTATATTGTCTGCCATGCACAGAGTAATGCCAATAGAATGTCAGAGGAAATCTTTCTGATTAAAACATCCAATCTTGTTAATTTTCCCTTCCCCATTTGTTCTTATATGTTCTTGAAAAATATGAGTTGGAGCTTAGGCATAGTGATCTGAGGTAGTTATTTGTTACTATTATTAGTGACTGTTAGATTAACTCTCAGCTACTTCAAATCATTTGGGTCATTGATGCCCTGGATCCAGGTAGCGATGATTATATTTCTAAGACTGGGTCTGTGGTATGCATGCATTGGGATTTTTGCTTCTAGTTGCAAGGTGAATAGGATTCTTACATTTTTATAAAATTCTTGCAGCTGAAAAGGGTAAGGACTTATTTCCCCAAGATTATAGAGTAATTTGTAGACCTCGTCCTGGTAGCGAAAGCTGCGTTTTGGTAGAGTGTAGACCACCTCAGGTTCTGGGGTGGGTTCCAAGTGTGCAGTGTGTTTTCATCAGCGTATGAAGAGCACCATGGAGGTCCCTCTGCCCGTAGTCTGCCGAGTCACTCCTCTGGAAGGTGGTTCTGGGCTCTTTTCTCTAGCTGTTGTGAAGTGACTAGAAGACAATTTACAAAGACATTTCCGCAGTGCTGGTGACAGGATACTCCAAACGAAGGTGGTTTGAAGCTTGGATTGTCAGTCCAGCAGTGCTTCAGTGTTATAGAGCTTCTCAGAAGTAGTTTGGTTGTGGTGGTATTTGTTGTTTTGTTTTGGTGACTTACCCCGTTTTATTTGTAAGTGGTTTTCAAGCATACACCAGAGAAGTTGGGTTTTCTTTAAGAAAGTTGGGTTTTCTTTAAGAGCTGTGTGTCCATGGCTTATTGCTGTTCGCTTGTTCACTCGACTCTTCTCTCTTTGCTTCCTTTGTTATTATTTCAGCCTTTTCTAATGTATTTGGATTGTATGCCTCATATATTATATTGAACTCATTTATTTGGAGTGTTATAAATCTCTCCATATTTTTATATATCTCTTAAATATATATATAATAAATATATGTGTATTTCTCTTAGTAATGAAGATCAGTAGTCCCTAGTCCCTCTCAGAGTAGTCCCTTGACCAGTTGTCTTCACTGTGGTGTCTTGGAATGCATTTTATGTGCGGTATGATTCTCCCATTTAAGGTTTGATTCACATTGATTTAAGCATATAATTAACCTAACCTAGAGGTTTTGCGTAACTAACAAAATTCTGGAGGAAAGTAAGTAAGTGTTTCAGAAATAAGGTTCACATATATTTTCAATCTTAACTTACAAGTGATTTTGAGCCCCAAAGATGCAGAATTAGTGATTTAGAATTTCCAGTAAAAAACACTTTTTCTTTGATCTTGCCAATTTTTGAATGTCGGTAGGTCACTAACACCAAAGCAACACAGGGAACATGACTGCAGAGTCAGCTCTGCATCAGGCACTAGAGATATCAGGCTTGGGCCTGAAGATTACCTAGAATTTTAGTAGAGGGGTAACCTTGACTTACAGAGCAGGAAACAGCTTAAAGAATCTCCATGGGTCACTTTGTTGCTCCCTGGCAGCATTGCATTCCTGACCATTCTGGTCTGATTTTAAAACATTTTTCTACCACACAGTCTGTTGCCTGCCTGGCTTGTAGTTCCTCGCATGGCACACTGCATTTCTTTCTGACAGCAGTTCATTTCTTAAGGTCCTGTGCATCCCTCTGGGTCGCTGAGTGGCAGCATTTCCTTCTGTATGTAGTAGATCTTCATTTATTAATTGCCATTCAAGTTTTCAGGCACTATCTTTCTTTTGCAGAGTGCTCTTATGCCTGCTCAGCTGTTCTTTAAGACAGAAGACGGAGGCAAATACCCAGTTATTTTCAAGCATGGAGACGACTTGCGTCAAGATCAGCTCATTCTTCAGATCATCTCCCTCATGGACAAGGTGAACATGAGTCTGTGTTGGCAGGAACATTGCCTCAATTTAGAAACTACTGATTGTCATGTCCATGTTCACAGACACAAGCATATATGTCATTTATTTGCAAAGCTCCAATGTTCAGCAGTCAAGCTTATTTTCGTCACTTCAAAGTGGTTCTTACGGCAAGTGGGGTTGCACATGTTGCGTATTTTCCCCCCAAAGTTCTCGTGGTGTCAGATTTAGTTATCTAATGAGTTAGATATTTGCTAAATGTCATCCCAGTCCCCAGCTTTTAGAGTTCCCCTTTGTCTTTGTTTCTGTCCCCAGAAGGTCAGCGTGAACCACTAGGAATTGTGCTATTTATTATTGGCAGTGTATGACATAATTAAAATAGGTGGAAAGGTATCTTATTACCCAAACAGATGGGTTCATTTTGACACTAAGAGTTAACATGTTACCCTTAAGATCACCTCCTGTGTCTTTATTGCATGATTGTGCAGTGATTTGTGGCATGAGCCTGCTTTCGGTGGTCCTTATATTCACTTTATGTGTTTCCTCTTTCAATGAAAAGCTGTTACGGAAAGAAAATCTGGATTTGAAATTGACACCGTACAAGGTCTTAGCCACTAGTACAAAACACGGTGAGTTCACATTTCATCGTGATCCTTTTCTTCAGTGTCCGGTCAGTACACTCTTCCTTTGTAAACTGAAAATCCTTGGGAAGTTAGAGCATGAATTAGCATATTCATGGTGTTGGGTTGTTCTTTCCATCTTCCTCTCTCCCTCCCTTCTGTCCTCACCTTTTACCCCCGCTCTGTTCTGTGTCCTTTTCCTCTTTCTCTCATTTCTTCCGTCTTTCCTGTTTTTCATTTCCCACCTCTTCGCTTCCCTAATTCTCCTTCACTTTCTATTTGTACTATTCCCAGAGGTAGAGTGGCATATTTGGAAGGTGCTTTCACATCCACATCTGAATAACACACTTCCCTGTCTTCTGATTGGCTGTAGTTCACAGTATTCCCTCACAGCTGCATTGCCCCTGGGGCCGCTCTGTGGTCCAGAAAGACTTTGAACCACATGCTTACAAAAGCCACTCAGCAAGGCATTGTCTGCTACATTTTACAGCGTGTACACGTGTATGCAGATGTACACACATATGCGTGTACACATGTATGTGTATGTACACCTTTGTGCACGGACAGAGCACACCTGTAAGTCTTTGTGGTATTGAATAACTTGAGGCCGTTTGGCTGACGCTCCTTGTGAATTATATATATCCACACTTCCTGTGTGTTTTTCTTCTCCATTTCTGCTCCCATGTCTTTTTTATTCTATCATTCTCCTTTCATTTCCTCCTCAGGATGATCTTCCTGAAAGTACAGTTGTGCTTTTTTGTGCCTTTTTGTTTTTCTGCATCAGTTTATTTCTAGCTTTTATTTGCTCTTGGGACAAAGAGGAGGCCACCTAACAGAGTTGTGACACGCTGACAGGCCGCCATACCTGTGTCCAGCCATCACTTTGCTACTGTCCCCACTTTTGTCAGCTTTGGGTATAGTAGATCCCTTGGGTTTCTCTAATGCTCTTTCAGTCCCAGAGCTGTGTTCAGTATCCGACTCTTCCTTTCCTATAATGCCCTGCTTCTTAAAAACATGGCCAATTGCCTGGTGGCCTTTGATTCCTGTGTAACTTAGATCTCATTGTGCCATCTTGTTTATGATGTTTATTTCAGAAAGACTTGAGCTTTAAGCTTTATAGTTGGGGATAAGCATCTTTTTTTTAACGTGTGTAGCTTATACTACATGGTAGAAAACTAATAAACTAATAAATGCTGTTGAAGTGAATGACCCTAGGTTTTTTCCATATTTGTCCTCTGCAGAGATACTCTTTGCCCATAAGTTGTTAGTATATCAGGGCCACTAAATCCACATCATGTTTGGTGAATCCTGAAATGCTGCCTCGTTCACTTGGATTTTTTTTTATGTTTGCTGTTTTATGCGCTTCCTGTACCAGGTTGACCAGCCCTCTTCTTATTCTCATTGTTTTGCATACTGTTCCCTTCCAGTTTCTTTTGTAGACTAAGCAGTTTGCACATCCCATTTTCAGTTTCAGGAGACGATAGGAGGAGTGAGTGGACAGAGTGATTTTTAAATCTGTACTGATGTTTACTTAGTTTACCCGGAGGGAAGGATGATAGGTTTGAGAAATATAGCCTGCTACTTTGTGTTCTTTGTGCTGATAGAAGTTCTACTAGGGAAGCATACAAATAAATCCACTAATTATTTAAAAAGAGTTGCATGGTGGTTCTGTGACCAGCATAAAGTTAGCACTGTGGCCACAGATCTTCTTCCTCTGGGAAGAGAAGTATATGTCTGCTAAGGGGAAGGATGCCCACCAGAGCCCTGGCTTCCTCTGGGTAAGGAGCCCAGGTGGAGTGCAGTATGCCAACCCTTTCTAATGGGCGCCTGGGTATGCCCAGTGTGGAACTCAATGCACTTAATGTCTTCTGCCCATAGGTTTCATGCAGTTCATCCAGTCAGTTCCTGTCGCTGAAGTTCTTGACACAGAGGGAAGCATTCAGGTAACCATGTCGTTGTGAACTCCTTACGGCTGATGAAGAACGACTGTTAAAATCAAAGTCTTTTTGATTTTATGCTTACTCTTTTTGCTGCAGCCTTTGTTTTCTTTAGAAATGAGAATTATTTCTAGTTGGAAGTTATGCCGTCAATCATTCAGATGCTCAAGCCTTTGAACTGTATATGGTGCATAATCAGGATTTAGAGTCTATAAATACGTAAAATAAGACTCTCACCCACACACAACATACAAACTAAAGCTTATAGTTGCATTCTGCTTCAAAATACAGAAATACTGAAATTTATTTAGCCATCAATCAAAACCTTTCTTAAAACTTTTTATTGATTTTGTTTATAAATTTCACATCATGCATCCCAGTCCGCTCATCTCCTCGTCCTTTCATATCTGCACTCTGCCTTTGCAACCTCTCCACCCCACAAAGAAACAAGAAATAAAAATTAAAATAAACAACATACACAGAGTATGCCTTTTTGTCCAAACATGCACCTCTTGGGCCATTTGTGTTTTGATCAATGTATAGGAGTCCCTCATATATTCTAGATACAGATCCTTCCTCACGTTCAAGAGGCATCAGGAAGCTGGAACAGAAGCCTCTGACTTAAGTGTGCTGCTGAATTTCCGGGTTGTTGTGTGTTTAAGACTCACACTGTAGAGGGGTGGGTCAACCTGTTAATGGGAAGAAGTAACCCAAAGGTCTCCAGGCTCTTGTAACAAGATGTATTGTGGTTTATTTACACAGCCTCAGACTGTCTTCTGACTCCATTTTAGATAAGACACTTGGCCATTACTCATGATGCCTAACTTAAGTGTGTTGTTTGTTTTTCCAGAACTTTTTCAGGAAACATGCCCCAAGCGAGACTGGACCTAATGGCATCAGTGCAGAGGTCATGGACACTTATGTCAAAAGCTGTGGTAAGTGTTTCAGGCTGCTGGTTTTCTGTGGGTACACTTATGTCAAAAGCTGTGGTAAGTGTTTCAGGCTGCTGGTTTTCTGTGGGTACATCTGAGTGAAGAAAACCTGGTCATGACAATGCTGTACTGATTCATAATTACAATGTGAAGTTCTAAATGTTTTATACGAAAAAAAGTAAAATGTGTAAGTTGTAAAAGAAATCCATGGTATTTTGAAATGATAATGGGGGCAACATATAAATGAGCTTCCCTCACTCAGTTCACTTATCCTGTTGTGGCCTATTAATTCCTGCTGAAGTCTCCTTGTTTTGAAACTTTATCATTAAGTACAGTATGGGGAAGACTTCATTCAGAAATAATTACTCTTATTAATGCTAAGCAGAACTAACAGTTCTGTTTGGAAAATGATTCTCATGGCCTTTGAAGTTATTTGTTCCCGGAAGAACCGGAAGGACATAGGACCATATTTTGAGTTTCTTTATTTCCTGTCGTGTGTGCCAGCCACCCTGCAGCTGATATACATATGAACTAGTTTCCATTTCTTTAAGGCATTATTTTATAATGGCATTTTTAAAGGAGGGATTAAAAAGACAGGAAACTAGGGCTAGAACCTTGGTAAAATAAGTTAGTTATGGATTATGGGATGCTTGAGAGTTTATCACATACATATTTATTTAGATAGTGACCTTTGGCATATCAATTTCAAATGTCAATTGCTAAATGAGTATTTCAGTTAAGGTTTGTGAAGCTTAATTTAGCTTATGTTACATAAAAACTGATAATTTGACAAAAATTCTTCAAGATTTATTGTTGCAAACACTAATTTCTCTAGTGTTGAGAATATAACTGACTGTTTACTTTAAAGTTTACCCAGAGGGAAGGATGATAGGTTTAAGAAATATAGCCTGCTACTTTGTCTTCTTTCTGCTGACAGAAATTCTTGATTTTTCGAGCAGGAGGAGGCCACAGCTTACTTAAGCTAGTGGGGAAATTGGAGACATTAAAAACCACGTGGAAATTAAAATAGCACCGATTACTTTTATGGTCAGTGCAGTGTGTAACCTAAGTGCTGGGTGTGTCATTCCCAACTTTCACTGTTTTCCAGCTGGATACTGTGTGATTACGTACATCCTTGGAGTTGGAGACCGGCACCTGGATAACCTTCTGTTAACAAAGACAGGTAACAAATCAGTAATATTAGAAGATGCATTTTTGTCTATGGTGATTTTTCAGGAGCCGAATGAAGTTATTAGGCCTACATGGAAAGGGCCTCGAACTTCTCAGCCTCTCTGGCTTGAGTTTCCTCTAAAGCTCCTTAAAATGGGGCACTGGAAGGACACTTAGGGAGAAGCACAGCCTGAGCAAGAGCAGGGGCCTGCGAGTGACCCTCTCACCCCGTTCTGTGTGCTGAGCCTCTGTGTAGGCAGCCAGACTCTTACTGCACATCTCTAGCTAAAGTGCTCCTTCTCCCATTACCACGGATTTCCTCACTGTAGCAGCTCTCTGGTGGTTTTCTTTCCTTATGGAGTACAAGAAATAATCATTCCTTTCTCCATTCTTTCTGCTAACTTATTAACCCATTTGTTTGTTTTATCTGTTCTCAGAGCTTTCTCTGGGATTCCAGGATTCCATCCTGACCTTAGCTCCAGATCTCTAAATACGGTTTCTAAACCTGCAGCTCCAGCTGTCACTCCATTCTATCCCTTCAGCTTGGAATAGCCACCTATACCAGCTCTTCTCTGTGACACCACCCTGTGGCCCTGCTTCTCCCCTTCATTCCCATTTCAGCAGGTTACGGCCCAACCCCAGAGGCCCACTAATGTCAATCCTGCCCTCTCCTCACCCTTCTCCCTCATTAGTAAGTCTGTTCCTCAGCTCTAGGACCCACCAGTAACATGGCAATTCTGCATTTTCCATGTCCCTTATTGAAGCCACCAACATAAAATCTCCCACGCCCAATCTTCAGTCTGCATGCCACATCACTGCTGCCTCAGGCAAGAACCCTGTTGCCTTTCTGGAAAGTTTTTTGCTCAGATCTTTGCAGAGCGAACTTTGGTTATTGTCTGAGCTGAATTACGATGTTCTTGGCAAACCAGCAATTGTCTGACATGTGCCCTGACCTCTGTCACTCTATACTCATTACTTCATTTTGTCTTTATGTTGGTTGAAGGTGTTTATTTATTCCAACAGGTATTTAAGTACCTGCTAGATGCCTTACTGACTCCTCATCAATCATCTCCAGTCAGGGTGCAAGGCTGTGAAAGCAGGGCCTCTGTTAGCAGCATGCCTCCCGAGCTGCAGGCGGCACTTACCTAGACATGCAGCATGCAGGGTTAGAGTAATGGCTAGTTAATCATCTCTGCTCTTCTCGTAGTTCTTTCTTTGAACTAAATAATTGAAATCTCCTTAGGTTTTTATAAAAAGTAGGTTTTCAAATTACTCTTTATAGCCATCTTCTCATATGAAGACATTTTTCTGTCTTTTAGCATTCCTCCAATTATGATAGCCAGAATATAAAATAAGAGTTGAATGTAGTCTCAACAATTATTAATGTGCTAACCCCGGTAACTCACCTACTATGATAGAATTTCATGTATTCATTTTGAATTATTTTATGTGAAGTTTGTTTGTGATTAGTTTGTGTTTAGGATATCATGTTTCTATCAGGACCAGACCGTTCAGTAGACACACCCAAAGGAATACTGACTGGTTGTCGCAGAGGTTCTGGCCAGTTTAACATTTTAGCAGAATGAGGCATATAAACTGGCATGATGTGTGTGAGAGCATTCTCCTTTGAAGACATTCTCTTGCATCTCTTCTTTAGCTTTCTTCCAGAACTCCAGTGACTCCCGGCTCCTCTGGCTTACAGCCATGTGCAAGGCAAGCCAGTTAGTTGTGCATATACCACATTACGTGCTGCTTGTCTCTGTGAGTTTTTTGTTTTTATGTGTTTTTTGTTTTGGTATTTTTTGTCTTAACTGATTTTTCTTTTTTGGTCTCTTGATTTTCATGTTTTTTGTTGTTTTTCTGAATTTTTGGGAGGTGAGAGAGGAAAGCAGGAATTGGGTAGGTAGAAAGGTAAGGGGGGAAAAAGACATGGGAGGGAAAAGAATATGATCAAAACATTGTATGAGAGCCTTTTTATTATTTAAATAATAAAAAATAGTCATGAAACGCGTAGAAGAAAACTCAGAATAACACTTAACATAAAATAGAATAGCAATTTTTAGTAATATAATTCACCTTCTGTTGTATGGTGGGAGGTGATCTTTGTGGTGTGTGTTAATTTGGACAGGATAGTCGCCTGATTTTTGGTTTGGTTTGCTTTGGTTTTTTGTTTGTTTGTTTTTTTAATATGTTTTTGCCCCCAATGTTTCAGATGTCTAGGAATCAGATTGTGAATTTTTACAGTTTTAAGCCTATATCAGTCTCCACCAGAGGGTGCTTCAAGTTTGTGTTTAGATGCCAGACTTCCATGAAATATAAATGAAAAACATTCTTTTTCTAAAGATCAGGCTTGTTCTTTTTCCTTTTTTTTTTTTTTTTTGCACCTGCCCAGTAATTATTTTATCCATTTACTTTCTGTAGTAAGCATTTTAAGTCTTTTTTAGAGAAATTAATTAATTCATAAATATAGCCAAGTACAGTGGCACACACCTGTAATCCCAGCATTTGGGGAGGTAGAGGCAGGCAGATATGTGAGTTTGAGGCCAGTAGTCTACAAAGCCAGTCCAGGACAGCCAGGGCTACACAGACAACCTCTGTCTCAGGGAAATGTGTATGTTTATTGTGTGTCTGTATATATGTATATATGTATGTGTACATTTATGCATATAGATGTGCAAACATGTCTAGCTGGCTGTGATTACTTACACCATGCTTCCAGCACTGGGAAGGATATAAGATGAGGCCAGGCAAGCTGAATAGTGGAGTAAGCTCCAAACCAGCCTGCTGTACAGTGAGATCCTGTCTCAAAATAAATAAAATTAAAAAATAATACCAGAGAAGTGCTTTTAAAATTCTGTTTAGTTATATTATCTATAAATAGTGTCATAGCTGAGTCTTAACAAAGTGAGTTTTGATTGTTGGTTCACAGCAGGAAGTATATTTCAGTTCTTTTATTTTAAAATGCCTCATTTTAAAATTATTTTTATTTTTATTAATTACAATTTATTTACTTTGTATCCCCCCTGTAGCTCCCTCCCTCCTCTCCTCCCAATCCCACTCTCCCTCCCTCTTTCCCACCCACACCCCTTCCCCAGTCTACTGATAAGGGAGTTCCTCCTCCCCTTCCTTCTGATCCTAGTCTATCAGGTCTCATCAGGAGTGGCTGCATTATCTTCCTCTGTGGCCTGGTAAGGCTGCACCCTGCTCAGAGGGAGGTGATCAAAGAGCAGACCAATCAGTTCCTGTCAGAGACAGTCCCTGTCCCCATTACTATGAACCCGCTGGGACACTGAACTGCCATGGGCTACATCTATGCAGGGGTTCCAGGCCATCTCCATGAATGGTCCTTGGCTAGAGTATCAGTCTCAGAAAAGACCCCTGTGCCCAGATTTTTTGGTTCTGTTGCTCTTCTTGTGGAGCTTTTGTCCTCTCCAGGTCTTACTATCTCCCCCTTCTTTTATAAGATTCCCTGCACTCTGCCCAAAGTTTGGCTATGAGTCTCAGCATCCACCTTGATACCCTGCAGGGTAGAGCCTTTGAGAGCCTACTCTGTGGTAGGCTCCTGTTCTGTTCCCTGTTTTCTCCCTCCTCCAATGTCCATCCTCTTTGCCTTTCTGCATAGGGATTGAGCATCTTAGCCAGAGACCTTCTTGATTAGCTTCCTTAGGTGTACAGATTATAGTATGTTTATCCTGTATGGAGGAATGGATACAGAAATTGTGGTACATTTACACAATGGAATATTACTCATCAATAAAAAACAAGGAAATCATGAAATTTGCAGGTAAATGGTGGGAACTGGAAACAATCATCCTGAATGAGGTATCCCAGAAGCAGAAAGACACACAGGGTATATACTTCATAAGTGGATATTGCAAAATGCCTCATTTTAATCATCTTCCCATGTTTATTTTTGGTCATTATGCCATGAACATGGATCTTGTACGGTATTAGACATTGAGAAATTAGAACTTTGTGTTCTCCTATGTAGCTGCTGTCTTTCAACAATTGATATGTAGTGTTTGTTTGCTTTTGTTCTCATTGCCAGCATAGCAGAGGTCTGAGTGAGCCTCTGCTTTGAGGGCTGTGCTGTGCATAGTCAGAGGTCCCCTGTCATCTCTGTGCAGTTCCCTGATGTGAGAAGCCTGAGGCTTCAGATTCAACTCACTCAGGAAATTCAGGTGGGCTAGGTAAGGACTGGCTGGAGAACTCTAGGCATGTGTGAATTAAGATGGCCCACTTAATGTGGAAACTTAAACCTGTGTGTGCAGGTAATGTGCTGAAATGGAAACCGAGTACCTTTCTTGCTTTGAGTACCTTTAGCTTGTTAGCTGTTTCCTTAGTTGTGCAGCAGAGGGCGCCCTGTGTCCACTATAAAATTGAACCTTGTAGTCAGTTGTCAGGGGTTTTGTTTTGTTTTTAGGCATTGAGATGGTGTTTCACTTCTTACTGAAGTATTATATCATCATAGAAAGAACAGGAAAATGCAAATTAAACTGTCACGAGATTGAAAGGGGAATTTTTGTTATTTTGAGTTCATGTCTGTGGATGAAACCATAGTTTATCAGGGTTATAAGTCATGGGAGAACTTACTTTAATTACTGATCTATTGCTGTCATGAAACACCATGACCAGAGTAACTCTTATAAAATAAAGTATTTAATTTAGGACTTGCTTATAGTTTCAGAGGGTTGGTCCATCACCATTATGACAGGGAGCATGATGACAGGCAGGCATGGCCTGGGAGCCAAGAGCTTATTATATCTTGATCTGTAGGCAGAGAGAGAGAGACTGGGCCTTCCACACCAGGGGCACACCTCCTCCAGCAAGGCCACACCTCCTGATCCTTCCCACTAACTGGGGACCAAGCGTTCAAATATCAGTCATCAAACAGGAGAAACCTCTGTATACCACCACCAGACTCAAATGAGGCTTGAATTTATCATAACTCAATTGGCAAAGCATTATTATTTTTTTATTTATGAAAATTCGAGACAGGTAATCAAAATGACTGAAGAACTTGTATGTTGCTTAGGATATTGATTGTAAAAACTGTAGAAATGAACATTGGATGCTAGGGACCTTGCCTAAACGGGAACTTTCTTGTAGGTCCTCAGCCTGCCATTGCTGCGAAGCCAGTGGTGCCTCTGTGTCTGTCTCAGATCTTTAGAGTGACCTGTTTGAGGCTTCTCTCAGAAAGCTCAGTGAATGCTGGACAACTGTTGACCTAAAAGAAAGGTTTTTCAGAACATCTCCTGTCCTGATCTTTTATATTATTTTTTAGTTTTATGTGGAATTAACTTTGTTAAAAATTCTGAGGAAAAAAAGCAAACCTAACAGTGAAGGTATCTGTCTCTAAAGCAAAACTCTGATGACTCTGGGCTGCTCACCTCATCTGTGTTTCTTTTGCTGAACACAGTGAGGGTAGAACCCTTGTCCTGGCGACTGAGGGAGGCAGCATAGTACAGGTGTGCCGCTGCTATCAGCACTGTGGGCTTCCCTCAAGGTGAGCTACGTCCTAACTGAGATCAGAATGCCATTTTTGGCTCATATTGTTAGTTGGACTCATAATTTAGGATTTAAGTTAGCCAATATATTTAATATTTCCTTTTATCTGTTGCTTTTTTAATTGATGCTCTAGCAAGAGCTTGGTGGCTTCTAAGGGAATCTTTTAATCTGATTATTGATTTAATATGGTAATTAAATGTATCAGACAAGGTACACTTTGATATTTCAAAACAAGTGGAGTGTTTAACCGTCCTTTTTGGAGTGTATAGTATAAGGCTGCTTTTTTCTGGAGTGGAACTTGATTGTGGAGTCAGGTGTGCCTGTCCTCATGACTTATGGTTTCATTAGTTTAAGCTCATTCCTGTTCATAAGAAGCTCATCTTAAGTTGAAGGGGAAACGATTAGCAGATAATTAGAATGTCTGTACTAATTTGAATTTATATGTCTTACCCTTTGTTAGAAAACCATTACTGCAAATTTCCTTAACTGTGTATGAGATTCCATCTAGTAAGAAGCCTTGGTGTAGTACATTAGCTGTGGTGGGAGCACAGCTTACATGAGCGTGAGTTTCCTTACAGTGCTGTAGTTTGGGGCTCCATTTTGTTTCTGATAAAGTAACAAGAATGGTATAGTCACATAGGCAGGAAAGGAATTAAAGGAAAATGATAGAATGGTTGCATACAAAAGGAAGCTTCAGTAACTGGAGTAGAGAAAGGGGCAGCTTAGAGGCAGGATTACACAGGATTCTCTGGAGTAAAACTTGGAGAGTAGGGAACCTCAGAGGATGAGAAAACAGCAGGCATGTCAAGCAGTGTGGGACAAAGTGATTGTGATTTTCAGATTTCTGCCACATATGTTTTAAGAACTACACTAAAGTAGTCTTCGAATCATAAGCTTACATTACTCAACAGCATTTAATTATATCCTCATTTACTATATATTGTAGGAATAGAGGGGATAACTACAGTGAGTCACTGGTTTGTTTTTTCACACAGTTTACCTCTTGTCTCATGTGAGAGATTTATTTATGATCACACTTCCTGAATTTCTTAATTTTTTATTTTAAAAGGTGCGCTTTTTAAATCTGTGGGTTTTCTTATAATGGTTATAGATCTCCAAGAAAGTTTCCTCTAGCACTTCTGAGGATGAATTTTCTTAAAATTAATAGCCTCTTTAAGAAATACATGGCTCTTTGAAGTTGTAAAACTTAACGATGCTTTCATTGTTAGAGCCACATGCTCTTTGCTATTGAGCTGTAACCTTGTTCAGTGAGAGTTTTCCTACAAGAAGGATAATGATATAACATTCATTTACAAGCAGTGATAAATAGAAGACCTTGGAATTCCAGTAAAGCTTATAAGGAAATGAAGAAAACTGGACAAGATTTACTAGTACAAACCAAGAATGATAGAGTTGGCTGAACAAGGCTAGTTGGCCATCTGCTCCAGTCCCAGGAGAATTGACACTGGAAACAGAGTCCTGTTTGTGGGATGCAGGAGAGTGAGCGGGCTTGTCTGCAGTGCTAATATTGTGCGTTTCCCATCTTTCCACCCTCAGGTGCATGGATACTGCTCATCTCAGTTAGGCAGAGGGTGGCACTCTGAAGGAAAGCTGTAAAATCCTTATCACGATTCCCTTTCGACCTTGGATTGTAAGGGATTAGGAAACATGCTATTACATTGAACACTACAGGCAATGCATTCCTCATTTTGAAGCTGATTGTCCTATTGTTTCAAAAGTAGTAATCTTTAGAAATTTCCCAAATCGTTTCATCCTGCCTACAGGGGAACTAGAAGAGAGATTTGGGAATTCTGAAAGAGAGGTGTCTTTTTGTTTTGTTTTACTGATGGATTTAAGTCTTGTCTTTAAATATCTATGCATACATACACTCTACCACAGAACCCTAGCCTCTAAAAGCAGGTTTTTCAGTCCTGAGTGTTGTTGAATATTAATCTATATTATTGTTATATCTTTTAATTAATGGGTGGTTATTCCTAAACCAGCTGTATACCGAAATCACCACACAGAGACTAGGATTTATTTAATTAACCTACAGCACCGTGCTGGGCAATAGTTACTCCATCCTAAACCTCCAAGCCTGCATAGTTTCCTACCATTAAGATTTCACTTATTATACTTCCTTTCAGTCATATCTTAGGTCCAGTTCATCTCTCCTCATGATTCCAACTCCTCTCTTGCTGATCTCTGCCCTCCTGCCCTCCCACCTGCTTTTTTCTCCTCCCCTCCAGACAAGGATGTCCCATCCTAGTCTCACCATTGCACAGCACTGGCTGGTTGTCTTATTGACAATACAGAGAACATTTGGCGGTATGTTTACACAAACTTGAGACAGGTGGCACTTAGAATAAACATCACAATGCAATGTCCTGTCTGGATTGAAACCTGATAGTGGGGGAGAGAAATCAACATTTGAATGAACAAGGATAAATTGTATACATTCCATAAGAACACTATACCAACACCTGAGAGATGTTTGTCTTTCAAGTAATCTATTTTTCCCTTCCTCCATGTGGGCCCCAGTGATAAAACTCAAATCACCAGCCTGGCAGCAAATACTTTACCTGTGGATCATCTTGCCAGCCTCAAGATTTATTTTTGAGTGCTCAGAGCTTTAATATTTACATGTTATTTGAATTATTTAAAATAAGTATTTATGAGCTACTGGAAGAGACCTGATTATTGCATGATTAAATGGCTTGATTTACTCTTAAATCCTATCATTTTAAATTGTTTTCTCCTTCTCAGAACAAGTTAAGACTTTAATCACTCCTGCCTTAAGGGTTTTGTTTGTTTGTTCTTTGGTTTGTCTTGACATTGTGTGTGTGTGTGTGTGTCTGAGAGAGAGATAATGATAGTGGCAACTGGCCTTTTAGGCATTTACCATGTGTTAGGCATTGGGCTACAGTATTCTCTTTTGATGTTACATCTGAGGTAATTGTCAGTTATAATTTAGAAAGTGACATTAGGGCAAATTCAGCAAGGTTACAAGCAGATGTGAGTTTCTTTTGTGCTTTGGTTGATTAGACTCCTGATTCTAATGACCTTTCTTCACAGTGGCAAAGACTCCAAGGTATACAAACAGAAAGGTTCTGTGCCATCACTGTTGCATCTCTCATGGAGACATGGGACATGCAATATGCAACAGTGTTTATGCACTGGAGTGCACAGTGTGTCCGTGACTGTGTATATCAGTGTGCAATGACTGTGATAGCTGCATAGATAAAGCACTATGCAAAATGACTGTGATAACACTCAGGAAAAGCAGCGAACAGGAAGGCATGGCCAACGTCGTAACTAATAATCAGTGTGGAAAATTCGTTTGCACACATTCTTTGTACACATGAGCAGTAAATTCAGTACACTGAGGCAAGACTGGTACCCTTGGTGGAAAAAATAAGGTAGGTGAAACAGGTCATAATGGTCATGACAGAATAGGCAGGATGCCCTAGAGAGGGTTTTAGTTCGCTTTTTAAGCCAGTTGATTCCTTCACTCAATAGTTGGTGCTTGCTTTGTCAGATGTTCTAAGGCAGACGTTAGCAGCACTGAGTCTGAACTCTCTGCTCTAAGAATTCAGTTTAATGCGTCCTTGCTTCATGCAACTTGTAAATGAACAGTAAAGTCAAAGAAGTGGTTGTCCATTACAGAAAGAACAGTTCATCTAAGCCTAATGTATAAGAAATTGTCCTCTGACTTTGCTGCTGCTGGTTCTTTTCAGAGTTGTCTAGACATTTGTTCCTTGATTATGCAATTCTATACATGAAATTCTAAATTAATATTAATTGGGATGATCTTAAGCTTTTTTTTTATTTTCATTTCCAAGTATTGAGCTGTACTGTGCTTTGAATGTCATATTTGAAGGTATAAAATACTTTAATGAATTAATTAATCCTTCCTGGCTTTTAAAGATAATTGTGGAAATAACTGAGTTTCTTGTTCACATCCAGGCAAACTCTTCCACATAGATTTTGGTTATATTTTGGGCCGAGATCCAAAGCCTCTTCCTCCCCCAATGAAGCTGAACAAGGAGATGGTGGAAGGCATGGGTGGCACCCAGAGTGAGCAGTACCAAGAATTCCGGAAGCAGTGCTACACAGCTTTCCTCCACCTGCGAAGGTGAGGGCTGTGTCGGGGACTCTCACAGAATGCTGCATCCAGCCGTTCAAATGAGCATTGACTGGCAGACCTTTGAATCCACATCTGCTATGCACAGGAACACCCCAGCATCAGAGCAAGTCTTGTTTTCCTTCTAATTATCACATCCATACCCTTCCAGTTAAGACGCTGGCACTATGAGGCTGAGAGTAGGCTAGCCAGGAGGAGTTTGACTCCATCCCTTCTCCCTGGAGGAGGTGGTGAGCAGCACTGCAGCACTGCCCTGGCTTCAGGACAGTCACAGTACTGTAGCCATTTTTGTAGTACTTTCTCCACCTCAGTTTTAGATGCTGTTCAGGATCATTCTGAGGTTTCATTTTTGTCTCTTCAAAACCTCATGACTCATTCTGCTTTGGACAAGGATGATCTGTCCTTTCTTTTGCAATGTCACTTTGTTCTTATTTCTTTCATCATGATTTGATTAAAAAGACTGGATGACGTACCAGGAAAAAAAAATAGAGATGAGTATTTGAGTAGGAACAGAATGCTGGCAGTTAGTCAAAAACGATGGGCTCATTGGTCTCTTAACAGTATTTTCTCCCTAACTACACAAAGGGAATTTTCCTAGTGCAGCAGAAATCCTACTGTAAGACATGCCTGCATTCCCTTCCCAGAGTATGAGGAAGAGTGATGTGGCCAATTTACAGGGTCTATGCCACCAACCTCACCATGTCATTATAGTATTATGTCATCTACTAATGCAGTTTTATTTTTGATTTATATGTACTTATTTCTCTTGTTCTATTTTCTAGAGCAGCTAATACTAATCTAATACTAATTTAAATAAGAGCAGTGGGAGCAGATGTTCCTGCCTTGAACCCTGCTATAGTATTTAGTCTGTTGTAATTAAGAACAATGTTAGCTATATGGCTTTGATAGATGTTTCAATTTTGTCTGTCCCACAAAACACCATGTGGTGAACTTTTGTTCACAAGGTGTCGATCCTAGGAGGGACTGTAGACCTTTGGGAGGAGAAGTCCTGAGGTGATTAGTTGCGAGCCAGGAGGCCCTGAGGAGAGGGCAGGCAGGAGGGTACAGAGTGATAGCTGGAGTGATCCCGGGGAAAGCCTGTCTCACCAAAAGCAGATGGAAAACTGTATATTATAAACTGCTAGTGGAGCATTGAGAGTAGCTAGGTAGAGTGAGAACATTGATCCAAGTTATTCACATAGACCTGAGGTTCACAGTCCTAACTACAAACATCACAAAGTGACCAGATAATGTCAGTGTGGGTGATATACCAGTTGGAAAAGCTGGAGTCTTCATATACAATTTCTAGGTCTCCTACCATGGAATAAACTTTTAGAGTTTCCATTTAATAATGACATTCCCCTCATTTTCAGAAGGCATATCCTTTATAAAGAACAAAGAGGAATATATTAGCCCTTCAACTAGAGTTTTGTAACATTGAAGCTCTGTCTTTTAAAATGACAAATATATGCTTTCTTATGTCTACCTAGGTGGTCATTTAGCAATGGCTAAGTGATTGGAAGGGAAATAACATTGTCCCACAGGTCGCTCACTCCAGGAGCCAAACAATAGCTTCAGTTGTGTATTTACTCACTCTGTCTTTTCCATTGGATCATAGTAATCTTCAAGTTACAGTTGCCACCACTTTGGAGAGTGTCTCGATAAGGCAAAGAAATCTGACATCCTAAGTCACTGGTTTCCTTTTCCTTCTTGTCCTTTAGGTATTCAAATCTGATTTTGAACTTGTTCTCCTTGATGGTTGATGCAAACATTCCAGATATTGCTCTTGAGCCAGATAAAACTGTAAAAAAGGTAATTTTGTACTTCTTTTGTATATAACATAGTCCACATTTCATATGTAAGGATGAGTAAAGACTTTAACAGTGCATGCCTTCTTTTTGTTCCAGCCAGTAGACAGTGGTTCTCAACCTTCCTAATGCTGTGACACCTATACAGTTCCTCATGTTTTAGTGACTACCACCTATAAAATAATTTCATTGCTACTTCCTACCTATAATTTCACTAGTGTTATAAATTGTAATGTAAATATCTGATATGCAGGATACCTGATATGTGTCCCCCAAAGGGGTTCCTACCCACAGTTTGAGAACCACTGCCGAGGCCATTAATAGACTCTAAGGAAGAGTCCTATGTGTACTCTTCTTCACATTTCAGAAACGTCAAACTCTCAGGTCTTCTCTGGCAATCCTGTTGAGTTTCATCTGTATGCATGTCTGTACCTGTAGTATGAATCAGAGACAGCTAACTCCCTGAGAGGACTGCTCCTCTTTATCTTCAGATGGTAATGCTTCCGTTAACATTGCCAACAAGATGCTGACTTGGTGGGCACAGGTGGAACTTACGAGCTAAGAGTGCCGATCGTGTAGCTGAAATTGTGTCCTCTGTAGTCTTACCATCTGTCCCCTCTATTTTAGATTTAGGTGTCACTATAGAGTTGAGTTCTGCTTTTGTTTCCTTTATAAACAAGCTATAGAGATAACAAATGAAAGCTGTCAAGTCCTTGTCTTAACTAGATTTTGAGCAGGAATGGGAGGAAAGGCGGAGGATTTCTGATGAGAGCTGATAGAAGAATGCTTTATGTATCCAAAGGCAAAAAAAATGACGCATGTCAGTGTTCAACCTCAGAGAAGGACTGCAGCGTTTTCAGTCATAGAAGTATAAAATGTCTGAAAGACAGTGGCATTCTCCAAGAGCGAGCTGGTCAGGTATCTGAGAGGGAACTGCTGTCAGCACATCCTACACTGAACACAAAAGACTGCGGGATACTAAGTTCAGCTGCAACCGAACGGGAAAGAGACCAGCCCTTTCCTGAGGTTTCACATGTTTAGAAGGCTAGGAGAGGAGTTTGGATGGAGGTATTTTATTTAGTTGTTTAAATAAATAAACTCTTAAAGTATTCCTGTTCTATTCAGGCAGGTGGCACTCTGGCCTTTCCATTTCTTCTTTTATTCAGTCAGGAATAGTCAATGAAATTCTTTTTTGTTTCAAATGAGATAGACTGTTTGTGTGTCCTGTTTTTTGTCTTTGTACTTTTGCTTTACTGACTAAAGCCTATCCATCAGAAAATATAATTTATTTATGAAAATCTCTTCAGATGTGAAGGATGCCTGCAGTAGACCTCACGTGATCCCCATGTTGTTCGCATCTGCCATGTTAAAGATCTCTTTTGGTAGTTTCCTTTAAGCTTGTTTATCTTATCTCCATCATGTTCACTCTTCTCTGTGTATGGATGATCAGAAGTCATTTGTGAAATCACTGGCAGTATTTATCAGACTTGTGTTAGACAGTGGTTTCTTTGGCCAGTTAAGTGGTTTCACAGACAGTGGTTGCTTTGCCTATTAAAACTGTGCCATAGACAGTAGTTTGTGTGGCCATATAAGTTGTGCCATGGACAATGTTTTCTATGCCTATTAAACTGTAACACAGACAGTGGTGTCCGTGGCTATTAAGTCATGCCACCATAGGCAGTGGTTTCTTTGGCCAGTTCTTGATCTCACTACATCCTCTGTTGAGCTGCCACCTATTTCAGGAAATCATGTGGCTCCCTTACCAGGTGTCCTTAAAACATCATTTTAAAGCATGAAGCAATTCCCATCATGAATAATGAGCAAAAAAAAGCAAATTTGTGAGGTGTTTATAGACTTGTAATTCCTACTACTGTATTTCAGTTAAATAGAACTTTAAAATACATTTTCCCAGATTTTTTCAAAATTGATATTTCAAAAAATAATATTTCTGCTTTCTGATCTTTCATCAAAATGTGAAGTACACAGTTACAATACTTAAAATTTATGCTGTAGTTGACTAAAATTTGCTTCTTTCAAAAGAAGTAGGTTCTATACTTTGGGGTAGTGGTTGCCACCATTAGTTCATTATGTAACTGACAGGACAGCAGAGCAGCTAGGGGAACACAGAAGTAGAGTATGAGGCTGCTGTTCACAGGAGCACAGGTCAGATTGCCTCAGAGGCCCTAACATGTTCTGTGCTTAACTTCGTAAGTAGCAGCCTTTATAATTCTGTGGGAAATTGTTTTTTGCACTTAACATTTTTGTGATTCAGATAAATTTGCTAGAACACACAATGTCTCTAAAATGTAAAGTGGAGTTAACAGGGTTCTACGTAAATATGGGCCCTGACTGTTAATGAAGCAGCAGCAATAGGAAGGTCTCTGATCTTCATTTAAAGATCGTAAGACCCTTAATTCACAGACTGGGGGATAAGAATGTTGCATAGAGACAGGGAACATTAAATAGGTGTGTTAAGTTTCCTTAGGCTGCTACTCTAAGACTTCATCAGACTGGAGATAAGTATACATGGCTTTTCCCACACCATCGGGTTGTCACTTTCTGAAGGAGAGCTCCAGTGTTACCTAAACATTCATTTTATTGATTAGTGCGCTTGCCTTTCTGTTAATACAGACACTACATGTTACAGGGAAATGTGTGTGCCTTTCTGTTAATAGAAGCACTGCATGTTATAGATAAATATGTGTTCATTTCTGTTAATACAAGCATTGCATGTTATAGAGAAATGTATGTGCCTTCCTGTCTTTATGAACACTGCGTGTTATGGATAAGTGTGTGTGCCTTTCTGTTCCTGTGTGCTCTGCTCAAAGGTCACCACCCTGAAGCTCATGTTGGGCAACTTCCTCTCCCTGCAGGTCAGGTGTTAGTGTGCCATTATCAGCTGTAAACACCAGAAATGCCTAGTAGCTGTGGGTCAGTGTGCCAAGCAAAGCTTAGTTACATGAAAAGCTCACTCAAAACTGCCATAATTCTTTCAAGCCAGTTACTTGGAACAAAGACTGTCAGATAGTTTAATAAATAAAAATGTATTTTGATAAAATTAATTTTCTTGTTACTATAACCAAAGCTTAGTGAATTCATTTCCAGCAGTGAGCAAGTAGATCCTGTTAGTTTATTACATAAGTATAATATGTGTCCTTACAAATACTAAACTATATTTGTGAAATGCTGAAATCATATGAAAATAAACACTTTTGGGCTAGTAAGGAAGTTCAGTAGGAGAGGGTACTTTCCACCAAGACCTGACTTTGATCCCCAGAACCTCAATGGTGGAAGGCAAAAATTGATTCCTGAAAGTTATCCTCTGACTTCCAGAATCGCATGCATACACACGCACACATACACAAACACACACAAACAAACCACAGAAGTGAGAGTGTGTTAATTAAATAAATAAAGGAACACACAACCAGCCTGGGTTACATAGCAAATTCTGTGCCATGTGGGTTCCATCTTTATCGCCTACCATTATCTCAAAAAGAAAAAAGTAAGTAAATTAAAAACTGCCAGCAAATATGCAGTCACTGTCCATTTGACTGTGTTAAGGATCTGCTTGCCTTAATGAAAATGCTGCTCTTGCCCTAGGTTGGGCCAGTCCTTCCCTTTCCCTGTCTCATTCACCGCAGTGTAGGTGAGCAGCTGATTTATTTGTGAAGTCGTGCCTGGTGTTCGCATGATAGAGTAGTAGAATCCATCTCCCTGTATCACAGAAATCACTTTGTAGTAAGAGAAACAGACAACAGGATAAGCTGAATACAAGTTCCAGCTTCTGAGATAATGGTGGGCGATAAAGATGAGAAAAGGGAATTGGGGCAGCATCTTGAGTTGTCAGTGATGGTGATGATGTTAGCTGTGGCCAGGAACAGCCCCACTGGGAGTGATACAAACTCTTCATGAGAAAATTTAGGAAAGACATTTCATAAGCCAATAGCACCAAAATGACAAAGTGTGTACTCCCTCACAGTCCTTAGCCCTGTGACTAGGGATGGTGGTTTGGAAAGGATGATCTTATCTTCTAGGAGTTTCAAATCTTCCTAGCTTTGTAAAACATGTAACTCTCTTTAGAGGGCAGGAGGGGGAAGGTACTAAAGTGAAGATGTTTAATGGATCCACATATTATAAACATGACTGATTAACAGTCGTGCTTTGTCATCCCTGATCCCTTTATTTCAGTAATTAAAAAGAAATCTCTAAACTCTGATGCCAACTTTATTCAGTCATTTAAGGTACTGTTTTCTATTGGAGAATTTAGTGGCGACATTCTCTCTTTAAATTGATTTCCTACTAAACTTTAAAACAAAGAAATTATATATATTATAAGAGGCTATAACTAGCTGACTGTATTTGAGGTAACATATAAAATTAAATTACCCATGGTTCCTGTAAGATTACCCATGGCTCCTGTCGGATCAGCCTATAGACACAGTGGCACCAGCTCTCATGCAGTGTGGGAAGCTCGAGGCTTTCATTTGCTTTTACAACAGTTCCTGTCTTGTGTAAGCAGTTTCCAGCGGTGGCTCTCCCATAACCATGTTTGGGTGGTGATTTAGATTGCATCTGTTTTTTAGTTACTCTTTTAAATTCTTTTCTATTACACTAAAGATTTTTGGTTTTGTATTCCAATACAGCACAAATAAATGAACTAAGCAAGAAAATGCTGTTAAAACTTTTTCTTTCATCAGGATGAATCAAATGTGTTCCTTTGTTATAGTCATTTTTATGATTACATTATTAAGATGTTTCTAAAGGGAAAATATTCTCTTTGCTTTTTTTCTTTGTTTGTTTGTTTAAGTTGGAGATAGGGTCTTCTGTAGCTGAGGCTGGCATTTAAGTCATGATTCTTCTGCCTTCATTTCCCAGAGTCACACCCAACGTAATCTGGCTTTCTGAATACAAAGAATTTAATGAGGAAAGTCAACATTTCATTTAATTGAAAGTTGCTTCTGTGTGGGAGATCCAAAACTAAGTTATTTTTTAAAAGATTGTTTTATATTGTTTTATATTTATATTGTGTAAAAATGAACACTCAGAAAAAGTTGAAACAAAAGCACTGTGCTTCTTGGTTTGAAAATGTGTTCTAGGGCTTTATTGGGAAAAATCATCCTGCAGACTTGGAATTGTTAAGATATATGTGTATGATTGAATATAGCAAATTTAGGCTGTACAGTTCTGGTATGGTGCAGAAACTTTAAGCCAATCTATAGGTTTAATTTTATTGGATTCACATTTAGCAAATTATTCTTTGTAAATAAAAGACTAAATTCAATTATTAGCAAGAACAGGGAAAATTGTACCATTGTTCAGAGATAGGAGTTTCTATAGCCTGATGCAGGGTAGCGGGAGTACAATGTGTTTGACGTCACTGGGTGCATCTTTGGAGAGAGGTGTGTGTGCATATTGCATGCAGGTAAAGGCCTTGTGCAGCCAAGTGTAAGTGAAGGCTAAGTGTATATATAACTCGGAAACAAATGGAGGCCCCAAGCTAAACTGTGCTTTGCCTGCTTAAGACTGTTGTGTTTGGGGTCTAGGAATTTCCAGTATTACAGTCACTAGAGATACCACTGTTGATTAGAATGTCAGTGCAGCTTATAACAGAACCTATTCGGTTCATTTATGCTTTTAGATCATATGAGCATCTGGTAATTAACCACTGCGGAAATGTTATTGCTGGTTAAGAGGCTGTGTGTTGCAAATACAACGGTTGAAATGGATCTACTGTGTACAAGGTCACAAGCGGATCTTCAGGAACCAGGCAATGCCAGCATTCCCCAAACAGGGAAGCACTCAGAATGTTCAGGTGTCTTTCCATGTTCTGATATAACCCCTGTACTAAGTGTTAGAGCAACCGATTTCACAACAGTGACTAAGATTGCAAGTGGCACTTGTAAGGCAGGGTACAAATGAACAGAACTGAGTTTTCAGCATCAAGCACAAGCAGAGTGGGTGTGGAGCAGTGAATAAAATTTTCAGTTTATGACTTTTTGCTTCAAGGCAATTTCCAGATTGTTTGAGTAAATAAATACGCTTAAAACTAAGACAAGTGTTCAGCTGTGCTGAATGTTTGGTGTAAGCTCAGCCAGTTTACCTGCCTACCACTAGGATGAAATCTTCACATCAACACAACAGAATTTACAGTCTCTATTCCATACCATCTAGAATGTGCATGCTAAGAGGTACGTTAGTAGATAAGACAAATGTGACACAAAGCCAGAGAACACAGAATCAGTGAGCGGAAGCACACTGAGGAGGTACCAGTGCCATTGTTCCCAGGAAGGCGGGCAGTTGCTGCTGCGTGTGTGCACGCACTTGAGGGAACACGCTTGATCAGTGGCTGCGGCGTGAGTGCATCAGAAGAACTGGGCAGGAAGACAAAAATAAATGATAGCTGTGGCCCCTCAGGCACAGTGTTAACTTACCCAGGCATCACAGCAAGTTGCATGTTTATGGAAGATACACAGAACAAAGGAGAGGCTGCAGGCTATAGCTTGCTGTATCAGCAGACTCCAGGAAGCCTGAAGGCAGTTAATGGCAGGAGGCCTGGCACAAGTCAAGGAAAGCAGTACTGGCTGAGAAAATGTGTCATATTTGGTAAAGAACATTTTATGCCAATTATATATTTTCTTTCTTCAATGGAGGCACCTGAATTAAGTACACAAATTTTGTTAAATTAGTCTAGAGTTTTACTTTGGTCCTTAGGCTTTCTGATTTGTGTGAGTCTGTGTGTGTTCTGGAAATAGTACCAGAGTTGCCAGATAACCTGCCACAGAGAAACCTGAAGAGTAAAAATTCAAACTCAAGGAGCATAATTGTTATTCCATGGGGTCCTATGAAAGAACCAAGGTCCTATGAAAGCCCTCCAAAGTGACAAATTGTCCCTATGTGGTGCATCTGCTTTTCTTTTGCCTCTCTCTCCTGGGTTGCAGAATCAAATCACGTGGTCTACCTCCATAGTGCAGCTTGCTGTGCCTGTGGGTTGTGTTACCTCTCCTTTCTCCTTCTCAGCTAGCATTCTATAGTTACATCCTATAAATAGCTCCCTATCCATGCTTGTCGAAGCACACCTAATAAACCCAAACCAAAGAAACGGAAGACATAGGAGAGTCAAAGCAGGGTTAGAGGACTAGCTAAGAAGGGGATGTTAACGCAAGTGGGATGCAGCTAAGCAGGTAATGGAGGGTAAATTTGATGACCACATAGTGTTGTCAGAATGAAAGGAAATACAAAGTTAAGCAGTTTGTCCACTTGGAAATCCTCGTTCTATTTTATGTTGAACTGCATGTGGGTCATTTATAGTAGAGGAGCAGAGTGCACTGATTACGTGCAGGACATAAGACTGTCTGGAAACACACTCTCTTTACCGGTTAAGAGTTCCTGTAGGAGCTTCCAGCGTCCTTGATTTCTGAGGATAAAAATGCTGTCTTCATCAGGGCCATCGTGGAGTCAGAAAAGAGACTGCACTGCTTACAGGAGTTTTATCCACAGTAGTTCTTCAGGCGTACTGGCTGTTATGTTTTAGGAAAAACACAGGCACATGTATGTACATCATGCATACACTCCTTTTCTAGTACTTAATGCTACTAAAAATGAACAATGCCTTAAAATATGACCTAAAAACACAATCCCGTCTTTGGACATTTTAGATCCATTGAAACAATCTCTTGCCAAGATCCAGGGGATTGCAGTCTGCAGGAAAGGCTTTTCAGAAGCTGTGCTTATTTTGCCAGTGTTTGATGTAGTTCTTGTGGACAGTGACCATCAAGGTGTGTGCAGGTGAGGGCTGCTAATATGCTCTCACCCTGTGCTAGAATGCTCAAGCTTAAACTGCAACTTGGAGCTAAAGTAGTGGCATTTCTTTTTCTAAGAGTGTGAGTGGAAGTGAGGCTTCAGAGCTCCTTACTGATCTAACTCTTGGATCTTAATGACGGCTGTGTCAGTGTGATTCTGTCTCTTCAGAGCATATTGCTGACTCACTCATTAAAAGGTTGATGTTGTCTCTGGTTCTCTCTAGGTTCAGGATAAGTTCCGTTTGGACCTGTCAGATGAGGAGGCAGTGCACTACATGCAGAGTCTGATCGACGAGAGCGTCCACGCATTGTTCGCTGCGGTGGTGGAACAGATCCATAAGTTTGCCCAGGTAAGTTCGCGCAGGCTGTGTGCCCATCCCACCCTTGCTGGGTACTAAGGAGTCTTCAGAGACGCTTACCTGCTGGCTGGCCTCCTTGCCCTTTCTGGGTTCTCTTTTCCCATCAGACCTTAGTGACAGCTCAGCAGTGGGTGAAGGCAGCATAGAGGAACATTGTAGAACCTTCGTAGGAATGTTTGTCTGTGTGTAGTCTAGTGCAAATCCCTCTTGAAACTTCCCGGTTGGAAGTCTCGGCACGTGGACTTGGACATTTTTGGGGTTTTAGTAAATGCTGGAGTGTAAGGAAAGGAGTTTGGAGTTCAGGGAAAGCAGTCTACATCCCTCACTGACATGGCTCAGTATTCATGGTCGCAGTATCTCTGGTATATGAGGAAACTTGTGCATGGCAGCCCTGGATAATGACCTTCAGATATGATATGCTCTGTGTATGAATTTCATAAGGAAGATGGTTGGCAGAGGAGTCAGGCTGCTTCTCTTGTGAAGGTCTTCCCTTACTCTCTATTCTCAGAACTCTGTTTTTCACTCTCAGGTTCAATGTCTTCGTATGGATCTGTCAAGCAATATCTAGTATGTCACTAAGCCTTTGCTGTTTCTTTACTTACCTCTTTATTACTCTTTTACTGTCACTTTCTGAAGAGTGTTTTAGTGTAGGTTTTCTTGGTTTGATAATCTCTTGAATAGTAAAAGCTTTTTGTTTTGTTTTGTAACCCTTCCCTGTATTAAAGTCTATTTCTATTCATTCTTTAACTGTTATTCTAAATTTTCTGGTCAGATATGCTTTGGCATATGTGAAGATTGTGTGTGATCTCTTCTGTGACAGGTTTGTGCGCATGTTCAAAACACCTGCGGCAGGCAAGAAGCCAGAGTGATACTGCTAATACCTATTTTGTTTCAGTTATTTTTAAGTTGTTGTGTTTGGTTTTATGCATTAACAGCAGTAGCAACCATAATAATATAAATGTTTAATTATTTCTTGAGTCCATCAGGTGATGACCTTGGCATTTGATCTTAACAAAATTTTCTGATGAAGCCAGATTAGGTTAAAAGGTCAGTGTCAGATAATGTCTATCCAGAAGAGAAAACCTCCTTGTGAGAATTGTTGTTACTTTGTCTTTAAAAACTTAGCCCTAGACATAGATACATTACCATTTTGGGTTCTATAAATAAATAAATAAATAGAAAATAAAACATACACTAAATTTTGAACAGTTAATTATAAGTGTCCTAAGTAGTAAGCATTCCCACAAAACCCTGTGTGATTTTATTATTTCCTTCTATAAATATCATGTGGCCTTTGCTCTTCAGCCTAGCATGTAAATGGGAACAGAAATATCTGCTCTTTGAGGCCCTGCTGTTCTCTTGTGCTAAGCAGCAGAGATTTTTTCCGAGGTTTGCATGTTGTTTTAATTGTGTGACTAGCATAGTAGTCCCTTCTAGGGCTCATACTTTGGTCCTGTGTTCTGGGTTTTTGAAGTTTCCTTGTATATGTATTGGCCAGTACAGCCCAATTCTGTTGGCTTATCAATCATGTTTACCTGAAGATTGAAGCCAGGTAGCCATGGCTGTTGTTAACTAGCCACACTCTAAGCCAAATACTAACTAACATCCTTCAGACGACCCAGTGCTCAGCTTATATGTAATTCCTCCTGTTCAGCTCTATAAAGAATGAACCTCTTTCCATAATAACCAGTCAGCTTGGAGCACAAGGCATCGGTCTACTTTCTTTTCTAGATTCAAACTAAGTCTAAAGAAAAGCTGTAGATGTCGTTGAGAGTTCTCATCATGTGGTCCTCATTTCACCATTAGGATGAAGAATAGAAGTGTACAATTTCCCCTGGAACAAAGCAAAATACCGAGTTCTGTTACCAAAGATAGTCTTCACTAAAACCCTTTTATAGTTGTTAATATAGAAATTCTCTGAAGAACCAGATGATTCCCTAAGCAGCGGTTTAAATAACTAAGGTTTCATCATTGTGTGGCACAAACAATGAGGTATCAGCCCTTGTTCCACATCTATTCCTAACACATTTAGCTTTTCTCAGGAGGACCGACAAGGCAACAGTCATAATGGCTGAGAAACAGTAATAACAGACCCAGCAGCCTCCTATCAGATGCCTGTATGTGTCAGCAGTGATGTGAGCGCTCTACATTACCTCACGAAGTTGTCTTGCCTGTGACATACATTTACTGTGTGGAAAATTGAGGCCAATAGGTAACAAGGTAGAGGACTGCCATCACCGTAATGGTGCCCACTAAAATTCACTGAATATTACTTTTCTTTCATACATATTCCATTTACCTGTGTAAGAAAGGCTTTTAAACACTTCCATGTGATCCTAGGGGAAAGTCTGTCTGTCCCTGTTTCCTCCTCACCTGCCTCAAGTAAAACCAGTTAATACTTGCTGTTTTATTGCCCAGACTTGTATTACTATAAACTATTTTATTTTATTTACTTTTGAAATTATAATTACATTTCTGTCTTCCTTTGTTCTCTACAAACGTTCACATATATCCCCTGCTCTCCTTAAAATTCCTTTTTTCTTTGTTATTTTGTGCATATATTTATATTGTATGTGTATATATGTATGTCTATGTATATATATGTTTATATATACATATATCTCCACTGAATACCATCTGTTAGTTGTATGTTTTCAGAGCTGTTTGGCACTGGACCATCAATTGGTGTGCTCTTCCTTGGGAAGAGCACCTCCCCTGTTTCCAGCATTCCTCAGTTGAACATAGTTTTTGGTGTAGGTTAAGATCTCATAGGTTTTTCCCTCTCAAGGTTGGCATGTTCACTGGTTTCATCTTGTTCAGCTCACATTTGGGAGTCATGTTGGTAAGCCTTTTTGGATGTAGCTTCTGATATTACTAGGAGACACGATCTGACAGCAAACTCTTAGCTCTGACAAGCTTTCTGTTCTTTCTTCTGCAGTGCTTCCTGAGTCTTAGGTGTGAGATTTCTTAGGCCCTTTTTGAGATCTCAAGGCTGCTGGAAGCTGAATGTTTGGAACAAACTCTCATACTTAGTATTCTTAATCTTTTTCCCCATAGACAGATACTTCTAAAGTGTTTAAGAAAGCATTTGAGACCATCTGTTCCATCACAGGATTTTTCTTACACACACATAAAAACATACATAAACACGCATGGGGATTTTATTTCTGAAGTGCTTCCAGGATCTTCCGACTGTTAGCATGTCAGTAAGAGTGCTTTACAGTTTGCCTTTTACCAGCATTTTCAATATTTATCCTGTGAAAGCTTTCAAAAAGAACGTGTAGGTTCTTTTTTAAAAGACTGTCTCTTTCCACAGTGTCACCCTGACTCCAGCCAGCAGCAGCACACCTGTGCTGTGCTAGGAGTGTGCTTCCTGCTGGTGAGATCTGCGGGTATTACCCAACGAAACTAAGCGGGTTCTTGCTTCGAGATTTTGAGTGTATCAAAGACTATCCTTTAGAGAGTTCATTTCTTTGATAGATCCCTTAATGAAAATATTAAAATTGCCTCTGAAAATGTAAAACATTTCTTTCATTAGCATAAAATAAGCATTTTACCGTATTCTTACTCAAGTTGATGCTTTAACTTGCATTAGATTAAATTCAATCAGAATCTTGGCAGTTTCACAGGTGTCTGCACACTAGAACTCTTGACAGTAAGATTTCTCCCTGTCCGTTCCCACATGGTGCAGCTCATAGGCACTAACTGTGTGAGGGGTGTGGATGGTACAGGATGTGCCCGGCTCGGACTGGGCTTTGTTCTTTATTCATAACTGCTTTAGGTTTGGTTTTCAGACCAATGCAGAATTCGGCACTTACATTCTGGGAGAAACGGCTAGTACCCAGTTATACCCAATGTGGCACTGAGAGCTAAGCACACTTTTTGGAGTGTGCTTGGGACGGTTTGTCTTCCAGTGCTGGCTGGAGGCTGGGGTTTTTTTTTGTTGTTGTTGTTGTTGTTGTTTTTTCTCTCGCCCACATAATAATTTTGTCATCTTGGTCTTGTACTTACAATGACCCAGCAATTCCTCCCCCATAACTGATTTCTCACCAACCCTCAGGAATCTCATACACAGTCAGTTCAGTCCTGATCCTCTTTCTCAGCATTTAGCAAAGTGATAAAAGTCACTTTTATTGATTGGTGTTTTTATCTTTTCTCATGAACAGTAAACTAAATTATTTTTGTTTTTAATTTTGATAGTACTGGAGAAAATGAAAGTGGATGTGTCTCATTGTGATGCCTGGTCAGTAAGAAAACACATGAGAAGCTACTGCTGTATACTAAAGACAAGAGAGAAAGAACAAAGAAGAGAAATTACGTCGTGCCCAAGCTTTGTCTCCTTGGATGCAGCTGCTTATTCCTGGCACAGAGAGTTTGTTTAAAGCTGCTGTGTACAAAACGGTGTAGCTCACAACTGTAATTGCAGAACACCAGAGGCTGAGGTAGGAAGATTGCTGCAAGTTTGAAGCCATCCTCAGCTATGTAAGGACTTCTGAGCAAGCCAAAAATCACTGTATATATGTTTCATAATGTATAAAGATAGAAGAGTATGTATATGTTTTAGGAATTCTTGGGAAGCTTTATTATGAAACAGTAAAGCACTTTAGCCTCTGAGTCTTTGTTTTCCTTTTCCATAAGGACAGCACATATTTCTTAATTTTGAAGATTTTTTTTTTATCTTCTCTTCCCCTCTCTCTTTCTCCCTACCACTGTTTTTGTTCATTTGTTTCTGTCTAGTTAAGATTCTTTGGTATATATTATCTTTATCATCACAGTTTGTATAAAACATTCACAGATTAGAAAAAGGATAGAGAAAAATATCTTCTAAATCACCATGAGAAATCTGTGCCTAAAGTAATTGGCCAGCCCCCTTTTCCCTTTCCTTCATATATTAGTGTCTTTTTTTTTTTTTTTTTGTGGTCAGAAGTTTTAACCCTTCCATCGTTACTTCCAAGGCCCCGTCTGTTGGCTTTTTCTCCTTCTTTTCTGACTGGCCCTGTTCATACTCTACTTTTGAACAAGGTTTCTATAGCCTCTGGGATTGGCAGCTATCGTGGTAAGTATCTTCAGCTTTAAGAAGTTTGTGGATTCCTCATGTCTGTTGTTGCACAGGAGACCAAGCCTCACAAACGTGTAAACAAGTGGACAAGGTCAGATCCTGAGCTGTGTAGTCTCCTGAGCATTTTAGAGGTGTGACAGAGTGTACCATCTTACTGATCTTTACAAACTCAACATATTGTGTATAGAGAAGCATACACTATTCAGGAAATGATTCTTGCACTAATAGGAAATTCTGTGGCAAACACTGCTGAGTAAGGCTTGTTTACCAAGACTGCCTTCCCTCTGCCTAATGTTGCTTGTAGTAAGCCAGACCTGATGAGTCATGTTTCTCTCAGATGTCAGCTAAACCAACTTCCACTTCAGCTACAGTCTGTCTTCAGAGCTGTTTCTTCATACTCAGTATCCGTCCTTCCTCCTTGGCCGCAGGCAACCTTTTAAACTTAATTTTTTACATTAGGTTTGCTATTTTTAAAACTTAACATACTAGTAATGAAGTTCTACCCCTTGTTATTTCCTTATGAAAATATGTCTCCATAAGGATTTGCATATTCTAAACCCCCTTTACTTTTTTTTTTTTTTTTTTTTTTTTTTTTTTTTTTTTTTTTTTTTTTTTGTCTTTTTAGATTTTTGAGACATGGTCTCACTGTTAGCTGGAGCTGGCCTGTAACTTCCTAGGTAGCATGGGCTGCTCTTGAACTTTCTGTCGTCGTTTCTTTTCTGTTGCTATGATAATATAGCATAACAGATAAAAGGTGTGTTTTAGCTCACACGTCAAGGCACAGTCACCATTGCGGGAAGTCAGCAGGAGCTTGAAATATCTGGTGCTACATCTGCAGTCAGCAGAAAGCAACAAGTGTACCTGTTAGTGCCCAGTTGGCCTGCTCCACTCTCTACAGACAGAAATTTAAATCAAATCTATGCCTCTCTCAAGTATTTGAGATTTAGCACTTTATAGAATATTGACGATTGGAAAAGCTGGAGGAGTAAGGCATTCAGAAGAGGATATGCTGGAGATGGAAAATCCCTAGTGAGTAGGAAGTAGCAGTGATCTCTTCTATATAGTCTTGAATTTCCTCAGCAGGGAATCCTGGGTAAAAGAAAAGCTGCCCTTATAGAGGACTTCAAAAAACTCAGGCTAGGTGTGCTGATGTTACCAGCAAGTCCAGGTTGAACTTGGCCTGTCACATGTTTCCAGTTTCCTGTAGAAGATTCTAATAGTGAATGTGAGGGAGACACTTGATGAGGAAGGGGTGGGCTGTGTCTAAGGTTTTTAAGAATTTGTCAGTTTAAAGCTAAACTCCAAACTATAATTTTTCACAGTTGAAATCCCAGGTAACCGAAGAGCTCAGCCATTGGAGGATTACATATATTTTTTGTTGGTGAGATACTTTGATAATATGTTCAGAAGCGTAATACTGATTAGCTTGAAATTTGTGGGGTTTTCTGCATGGTATGGAGCAGGTACTATAGTCCAAAAAGCAGATCAGTTCATTGCCCTCTCTAGTTTGAGTGAAGTAATTTTGACAGTAACCTCCAATTACATCTACAGACAGTATTTGAACTATTACCTAAGATGTATGCTAACAAGTGTGTTTTGGGGTCAGAGGAAGGTCTTTTCTGCAAGAGCTAGAGCTATATTCCACTAAAGCAGCAAAGTGACTTATTAACCTGTAAGGCAGTTTGCTTTTTCAATTTGCAAAATCCATTACTAGTCTGCATTTAGGAATTTTCATCAAGGTGACAGTTACTATTAATTTTGCCTTTTATAGTTTTTTAATGTGACAGTAATCTATAATTAAACTGTTACTGTGAGATATTTACTACTGTAGTATTAGTATAATGGCCTTAAATATTTGTGTAAGGTGCATAAGCACATTTCCTATAGGGTATAACCCCTCTTACATTTTATTGAAATGTTCATTTGATTTATACATATACCTATATATGTTATATGTAGAGAAAGAGAGTTTCTTCTGACATATGTGTTTTGACTATATCCAACCCCTCCTCCAACTCCTGGACTCCCCCTTCAAATATCATGTAGTCCCCTTATTTTATTTATCTCTGAGTCTTATGCATGCATGGTTGTTGGGCTATCCACTGAAGTACAATGATAACAACTCAGTAGAAAATGACCCTCCCATCCCAGACAACCGTCAGCTTGGTTCTAGTAGCTCCTCAGACCGTGTGCCCTGCATCCCAATCCTTTTTTGGTTTTTGACGGGCAGGTCTTGTCCAGGTAGTTGCAGCTACTGTGAGTTCATGTGGGCAGCAGCCATGTCATGCCAGGAAGATAGCATTCCATTTCATCCTCCAGCTCTTACATCCTTTCCACTTCTTCCAGAATGTTCCCTGATCCTTCGGAGGTACTGATGCAGAAGTTCCATCGAGGACTAAGAACACACGGCCATTTATTCTCATTCCCTTGGCCAGTTGACTGTGCATTAACTATAAAAAGTCTTTCTCTGATGGCAGTCGAAAGCCCATACTAATGGATGTAAACATAAGTACGTAGAAGGCAATGTGACAACGTGACCATTTCACAAAACAACAATAGTAGACCCCACCATCAGGACCTAGGACCTCTTGAGCCTTGAGCTTTTGGTCAGGTAGACGACAGTACAGAGATCATTTATTTAAACAGATTATTATAGAGTCCTAGTTGGTAGTGATGATGCAGCCAATAGTGCAAGGAATAGGGCAAGGGCAGGAGCGAGATCTGGAGAAAATGAGACAGTGCCTCGCCAAGTGGAAGAGAAATTCTCACATTGTAAGGAGAGGGCTGCTGGGAAAGTCTCCCCTCTGGAATGTGTAAGTGACGTATGGCACCTTGTTAAATACTGTGTCAGCCCCCACCACATTCGGGTGTTTCATGAGAGTGGGGCCTTCCTTCCAGTTTTGTCCAGTAGACAGCATAGCAGACAACACAGCAGCCATGCTCTGCTTTCTTGGATTATGCGCAATTCCTTTTAGCAATGACGTGTTCTTTGCCTTCTCTTATGACCTTGTTTTGTACACACACATCCTCAGACAGCCGCTGGCTGGCGGCAGGCACACAGGCGCGCACGCACACAAACACACACACACACACACACACACACACACACACACACACGGTAGCCAAAAAGAAAGGAACTAGAAGTGTCATCGCACATTGCTCCTGTCCATGTGTCTCCTTGTAAAGGTATGGTACTGGACTTCATGCTGGTTTTATGGTACAGAACACAGCCTCCAGTACCTTTCCCTTGGTACTTTTTCCTGCAGTTAACACCAGGTTTCCCACATTGTACTTAATTGGGAATGTTTATGATTAATTAAAAAGACAAAAATAAAAAACAGGTTGTCACTGAAATTTATCACATGAAGAAAGGTTTTCCCAGAGATTATCTAGTCACTGTTGTTGTATCATTGAGATTGTAGGTTTAAAAAAGTCATAAGCACCTAGGAGAGGAAAAGAGGGTATATAAACCCCGGATTTATAAATGTTCTGAAGGATCTTCCTAGTCTCGCAGGTTACACAAGACAATAAAGTATACTTTGGGCTCAAACTAATTGGTTTTCCATCTCTTTGATCTGAAAGACTGATGTAATTGCCTATGCCTAGCAGGGAACTGGATCCAGATCAAGAGCAAAGTCTTTGTCATAAAGCCAAAGGATCTTGGTAAACAGTCCCCTGTAGTCAGTGTGACTTTAGCAATTTTCACTCACTCACATAGCCCTTTCCACTGCATACCGCTCTATCCTGGGCAGTTAAAATAAGAACATGGAGAGAATGACCAGTGCAACAATTGCAGATGGTGATGCCTGAATGACGTTAGCTGGACTTAGAGAAGTTCTGAGAAATTCGGGGGAAGGCGGTGTAGTTGTCCTCAAGTATAAAGATTCAGTGTGTGAGAGGAGGTCTAGTTAGCAGGGAATTTCTGTTATAGACAACTGTTGCTCCATTGGCCAGAAGTCTTAAAAGCTTAAAAGCAGAAAGCTCAGAATTTATGATTTTTTTTCTTTTTAATAAAAAATTTTCAATGGCCTTTGTAAAATGTGGTTTTAATCTGCTTGTCTAACAAGTGAATTTATCAAACTAAGCAGGTGATAGGCAGTGTGTGATAGATAGCTTAATCCCTATTTTAAATTTGTTATTTGGGGATTATAATTTAACTACAACATTTCTTCTTTCTCTTTCTTCTAAACCCTCCAGTTTATCCTTCCCTGATGTACTTCAACCTCATGACCTCTTCGTTCTTTAATTGTTGCTGCATGCATATATCTGAATGACTACGTATGCATTCCTAGCTAAAACCTGCTCAGTCTGTGCAATGTCACCTGTACGTGTGCTCTCAGGGCTGAATTGGGCACCGGACAGCCCACTGCTGTGCCTGGGAAGGACCACCAAAGCTGCCCCCAGCTTTCGTCCTCGGTTGCCTATAGTTCTTTGTGTAGAGTAGAGGCTTTGTGGACTTTTCCCCCAAAACAGTATATGTCCACAGAGAAGGATCTAAGCAGAAATACAGCAAAGTGTATTCAGAGGTGACTTGGGGGTAGGAAAATCCTGGAAG